AGACCCTGCATAATTCTGTTGCTGTATTTACATTTAACGGGACCCATTCGATCGATAAAATATTGGTCATATATGTGTATATACTATGGTGTGTGTGTGTTGAAACAACTCCTACCCTCCCCCCCCCCATGATTGTACAAAGGTAAAGACGCAGCCCTGCATTTGCTTGCTCACGCCACTGATGACAACAGGTCCTCCCATAGAGGGAGCTCTGGAGAGCCCGTCTAGAGGGTATTTTGCCCTTATCTTACACTCGGGCCAGATATCTTGGGAGTACTTATACGTAACCTCACCATATGCAACCTGCCGATTGACTTAACGGCGGTGCACCCATCTATACTGCTGGGTGGGCAGAGGCGGTGGGAATTAAGGAAATTTGGGCAGTTTCTACTGCCATGCCTGGAGATCGAATTGAACCGGCGGCCTGATGGCTGCACCCTCCTGATGGATATATACGATTGCACACAGCTCGTTGTCATTCATGTAACTCATTGCCGTACAAAAACTGGAGGAAGGGCCTTTGCTATTGATGCCCCCAGGGTCTGGAATGCTATTGCCAATAAACTGCAATTTGAATCACTACCTATGAGATCTTCACTCAAAACTGCTCTAGAGGAGTTGTACAACCCTAGCTGCCACTGCTATTCAGTGGCCTAAAATATGGCTCTAGATTTTGGTGTTATAATTTATTTATGTAGTTTATTGTAAAAAAATTCGGTCACAGTCCCTATGATCACTGTTACATTGCATTTATGGCTTTTATTTTGGTGATTTCGAAAACGTTTTTTTTTGTTTTGCCCATGTTTTTGTTTATTGTAGTACGGAGTTAGACTGATGGCCTTAATCTTAGTTGTCTTGTGGTTGTTGTTGTTGTTGTTGTTATTTGACTTGCATCCCACTCGGATTTTTGCACACAGCGTTGGTGTACGGTGCTATTTCAGGAATATTTTGATATTTTTTTCCTGTATTTTCTGTTTGCACAGTCACATAATCACTTTAAGATGTTTTCTTGTTCATGTTATTTGTTTGTTGCGGTTGCACCCGATTCAAGAGCCGAATGGCTCACAGGGCTATACCAAATAAATGAACTATGATGAACGTGCTGAATATAAAAAAACGTAATTTTTAAAACCAAAAACTATTTAAAGTTATGCTAAGTATATTGAGACGCACGTTTGTTTTGTATTTTGCTACGATTTATTCCGAGCAATAACAAATTATGTATTTTCCAAGACGTGTGTTCTGGCCAGCGTGTGGAAGAGGAGGTCAAAATAACCTCATTAAACCCCCTAGAGCAGGGGTCCCCCAACCCCCGGGCCGCGGACCGATACCGGTCCGTGGCCTGTTAGGAACCGGGCCGCACAGCAGCAGGAGGAGGTGAGATCGGTGAGTCCGCGTGTGGAACCTGCCCCATTATTTTATTATTTAGCTCTTCCGTCCGCCCCTCTTTCCCGCACTGCGCACTCGTCTCAGTCACAGTGTTGGTAAGCCCACAAGCTAACCCCCAGTAGCCACAATGAGTAAAAAAACAAACGTCGCCGGAGAGCTTCTTTGAAAAGTGGGAAAGACCCAATGATGAACCCCCCACCCCCCCTCCGGTCCGTGAAAAAAATTGTCTTCCACGAAACCGGTCCCTGGTGCCAAAAATGTTGTGGACCGCTGCCCTCGAGGGCTTCTCGAGAGCTTTCTCTACATTGGAGGCCCCTTACAGCAGCAGCATTGGCGTGGAGCGAGCAATTATCGGCCCGCACCTTTACACATACGTTATCTATTTGCATATCTAATATAATTTATATTTATAGAATACCTTCACGCAAGGCACTTGAGATCGCTTACACAACGGTGACACAGAATGGAATGATTTAGATGTCAGGTGCGTGCTACAACGATTGAAGAATGAGTGGTCTTCTGGACATGTGAAAAGAGCTTTATAGCTCATCGGATACAGCGATAGAGGGTACTTAGGGATCACGAAAGGGGAGGGACGGGAAGGAGTGGAGGGGCGAGGGAAGAGAATGGGAAATGGAGAAGAGGTGAGGCTTTAAGAGAGGAACGGAATGGTGTTAAGGAGGGGTACTACTTAATGTACAGGGACAGTGTTAGGTCTATGCGCAGTGTTGAGTCTACGTGTAGTGTGAGTCTATGGCCAGTGTTGGGTCTATGGGCAGTGTTGAGTCCATGGGCAGTGTTGGGTCTATGTGTAGTGTTGAGTCTATGGGCAGTGTTGAGTCTATGGGTAGTGTTGATTCTATGGGCAGTGTTGAGTCTTTGTGTAGTGTTGAGTCTATGGGAAGTGTTGGGTCTATGTGTAGTGTTGAGTCTATGGGTAGTGTTGAGTCTATGAGTAGTGTTGATTCTATGGGCAGTGTTGAGTCTTTGTGTAGTGTTGAATCTATGGGCAGTGTTGGGTCTATGTGTAGTGTTGAGTCTATGCGCAGTGTTGAGTCTATGGGCAGTGTTGAATCTATGGGTAGTGTTGGGTCTATATGTAGTGTTGAGTCTATGGGCAGTGTTGGGTCTATGTGTAGTGTTGAGTCTATGCGCAGAGTTGAGTCTATGGGCAGTGTTGAATCTATGGGTAGTGTTGAGTCTATGGGCAGTGTTCGGTCTATGTGTCGTGTTAAGTCTATGGGCAGTGTTGAATCTATGGGTAGTGTTGAGTCTATGGGTAGTGTTGATTCTATGGGCAGTGTTGAGTCTATGTGTAGTGTTGAGTCTATGGGCAGTGTTGGGTCTATGTGTAGTGTTGAGTCTATGCGCAGTGTTGAGTCTATGGGCAGTGTTGAATCTATGGGTAGTGTTGGGTCTATATGTAGTGTTGAGTCTATGGGCAGTGTTGGGTCTATGTGTAGTGTTGAGTCTATGCGCAGAGTTGAGTCTATGGGCAGTGTTGAATCTATGGGTAGTGTTGAGTCTATGGGCAGTGTTCGGTCTATGTGTCGTGTTAAGTCTATGGGCAGTGTTGAATCTATGGGTAGTGTTGAGTCTATGGGTAGTGTTGATTCTATGGGCAGTGTTGAGTCTATGTGTAGTGTTGAGTCTATGGGCAGTGTTGGGTCTATGTGTAGTGTTGAGTCTATGCGCAGTGTTGAGTCTATGGGCAGTGTTGAATCTATGGGTAGTGTTGGGTCTATATGTAGTGTTGAGTCTATGGGCAGTGTTGGGTCTATGTGTAGTGTTGAGTCTATGCGCAGAGTTGAGTCTATGGGCAGTGTTGAATCTATGGGTAGTGTTGAGTCTATGGGCAGTGTTCGGTCTATGTGTCGTGTTAAGTCTATGGGCAGTGTTGAATCTATGGGTAGTGTTGGGTCTAAGGGCAGTGTTGGGTCTATGGGCAGTGTTAAGTCTATGGGCAGTGTTGAGTCTATGGGCAGTGTTGAATCTATGGGCAGTGTTGAGTCTTTGTGTAGTGTTGAGTCTATGGGCAGTGTTGGGTCTATGTGTAGTGTTGAGTCTATGCGCAGTGTTGAGTCTATGGGCAGTGTTGAATCTATGGGTAGTGTTGGGTCTATATGTAGTGTTGAGTCTATGGGCAGTGTTGGGTCTATGTGTAGTGTTGAGTCTATGCGCAGTGTTGAGTCTATGGGCAGTGTTGAATCTATGGGTAGTGTTGGGTCTATGTGTAGTGTTGAGTCTATGGGCAGTGTTGGGTCTATGTGTAGTGTTGAGTCTATGGGTAGTGTTGAGTCTATGGGTAGTGTTGATTCTATGGGCAGTGTTGAGTCTTTGTGTAGTGTTGAGTCTATGGGCAGTGTTGGGTCTATGTGTAGTGTTGAGTCTATGCGCAGTGTTGAGTCTATGGGTAGTGTTGAATCTATGGGTAGTGTTGGGTCTATGTGACGTGTTAAGTCTATGGGCAGTGTTGAATCTATGGGTAGTGTTGGGTCTATGGGCAGTGTTGGGTCTATGGGCAGTGTTAAGTCTATGGGCAGTGTTGAGTCTATGGGCAGTGTTGAGTCTATGGGCAGTGCTGAGTCTATGGGCAGTGTTGAGTCTATGGGCAGTGCTGCTTCGTCTCCAAGGGAATTTGATTCGAGTGGAGGGGTGCCAGGAGGGAGGACGGAAAACGAGATTGGTCACAGGGACAGAGAGAGATAAGATTGGGAACGAAGAGGACGAGAGGAGGGGGCAGGGAAGGAGAATAGAGACAATATCAGGTGGGACAAGGCAACGAAGAGATGCATAGAATCAGAATATTTATTTATTTTGGAGGATTTCGATAAGCTATAAAGCTCTTTTCCATAGATGTCCAGTAGGGGCAGCTCAGAGGTAACTTGCTAACTTGAATTACACCCTGCTTTTCCCTCGCTAGATATTGCTAAAAGCATATTGTTGTATTTCCCAATTTGTTAAAAAAAAAATGTCATGTTTAACCCAGAAGTATTGAGCTCACTATCTCAAAAAGCCATCATTGACGACTACTGGGGTAGCACGTGGGCATCGACTTGGGTAATCGATTCCTCCGTACAGACAACGCACGACTCGAATCGAATTGCGGTGCATGGGAGGGAGGAGGAATCGATCCAGCGCGTGACGTCACGGAGCGTACCACCGGCCGAGCTGGCGGTAGGGGTGCATGCGTGGGAGCCGATGTCCATGAAGAGCTCTCCCCCTTTAAACATTGCGTTGTAAGTGCAAGCAACTGCAATGCCTGTGGGTGTGCGACGGCTGCGTTAATTACGCAGGCGAGACAAGCACAACAACAACAACAATGAAACTAACAATCCGCGCGTTGCACAAACGGAACTTTACGTCGCCACACGCAATAAGCGGCCACTCTCGTGAAACACACGCACGCACGCAAAACCCAAAGTACGTTGAGAATAGGCGAGCGGCGTAACAACGTAACGGTGAATAACGTTACAAGGGAGTGAAAAACAAAACATTAACGCGCGCCTACTAAGACAGCTGTGTAAAAGTGTCGCTCTGTGCGGTGTGTGTGTGTGTGGGGTGGGGGGGGGGTGTTCGTGCACGAATGGTCGCGCCCGGTGACCCGGGGTCAGAGTTGAGCCGCGCCATGTTGGTTGGGTGCGTAATGGTGGCAACCATCTCCTCCTGCCCGCCGCCTCCGCCGCCGTTGTTGTTGTTGTTGTTGTCGTCTCCCTCCCCGCGCCCTCCGCTCTCTCCGCCCTCGCCTTTGTCCGCCGCCTTCCCGGCCGTCAGCAGCAGCAGCAGCAGGAGGAGGGGGGCGAACGACGAGCGGAGAGAGCCATGGAGGCGGAGCCGCGGAGCCGGTACTTGTACCGCGTCCACCGGCACAGCGCCGACATCCTGGAGCGGCTCAACGCTCAGCGCAAGGCGGGCCGCTTCTGCGACGTGGTGGTCAAGGTTGGCGACGAGCGCTTCCCGGCGCACAGGGCGGTGCTCGCGGCCTGCAGCGGGTACTTCGAGGCGAGTCTCAGCGGTTGCGGCCTTGGGGTCGGGGTTGGGATCGGGGTAGCGAACGCGGCCGCGGCCGGGACAGGGGGCGGGATCGCCACTGGCACCGGAGTTGAGACTGAGCCGGTGTCGGAGACGGCGATTGCGGACGCGCCCCCTGACCCTCAGGAGAACGAGCAGCAGAACGAGCAGCCGAACGAGCAGCCGCAGTCTCAACAGAGCCAACAGCCTCAATTGGATCAGCAGGCTCAGAGCCAGCACAAGACGCAGGGTCAGCAGTATCATCAACAACAACAACAGCAGCAGCAGCAGCACTACCAGGCCTCGCCGACAGAAGAGCCTCCGCCGTCCGAGGTGGAGATGCACACGATCAGCTCCGTGGTGTTCCGCGACATCCTCGACTTCGCCTACACGTCGCAGCTCACCGTGCGCCTCGAGATCTTCCCCGAGCTCATGACGGCCGCGCGCTTCCTCGTCATGGGCTCGGTGATTGACATCTGCCAGGAGATGATCCGCCAGGCCAACGTGCAGATTCGAGTGCCGCGCGCTCGCGAAAGCTACTTCAGGGCGCTGGGCTTCCTGCCGGACATGGTGCTGCGCCAGGCGCTGGATGGGGCCCGCGCGACGGCGTCAGCCAAGGATAAGGATGACGATGACAGCGTCGAGCTAGCCAAGCGAGACGGTGAGATTCAAGGATCTGGGGCCACTGCTGCTCCCTCCTCCTTGCAAAGCCAAGATGGAAGTGGGGATCAACCCGGCAGCCGGCAGGACGTGCTCTCGTCGTCGCCCCCTTCCAAGGACGCGGCCACGGTGCTAAATTCGTGCGCACGCGATCAGACCGACGCGCTCGATCTGAGGGGAGATGGGGATGTTTCGACGCCGCAGACTGCCGCGGCAACGTGGCCGGGCAACGGCGAGGGGGGTGACCGGGCCGACGAGCGTGCGGCTGGGGTCCCGTCGCCGTACGAACAGAGCCCCGAGGACGCGGCATCTTCGCAGGCCCGGGAACAGCAGGGTGTGGTGGCCACGCGCGGCAAGGGCAAGGGGAAGGGAAAAGTGAGGTGCAGAACTCGTGGAAGGAGTCTGCTGCCGTCCATGGTACCGCTGACGCAACCAATGCCCAACGAGATGATCAAAAGGGGCCGTGGCCGCCCGCGCAAGCGCGCCTTCTTAGAGGTGCATGGCCAGCCCGTGGTGAGCACGCACGGCAGGGAGACCTCGGAGGAGATTCTGACAGAGAACCCCGAGCTGAGCCTCTCGCTTATCCGCATCAAGAGCAAGAGCCAGTTTGTGTGCTCGCACTGTGGCAAGGAGTTCCGCGACGGCTACCACCTGCGGCGGCACGAGATGCGCCACACGAGGAGCAACGCTCCGCTGCCGCCCTCTTCGCCGCGCCACGTCTACGGTGTGCCCACCATGGTGGACATGGTGAGCCCGCTCGGCGTGCTCTACTCCTCTTTCGCCATGAGCGGGGCCGACCCGCCCGATGCGCCGCCCTACTCGGACGACCCCATGGACCTGTCGTCGTTCCACGCGAGCGGCACGCTTCGCTCGGCAAAGGGCGCAGATGGCGGCGAGGACCCCGAGGAGGGCGAGGTGGAGCGGCGGCGAAGCCTTGGCGAGGCCGCCCTGGCCGCGTTGGGCGGTCGGGCGCAGGCGTTCGCCACCTCGGCCGCCCTTACTGCTGCAGCCGCGTCAGCGGCCGGCGGGACTATGTTGGACGGAGACCAGGGCCTGCAGTCTCCGGGGAACGAGAGGAAAGACAAGAAGGCGATCATCAACAACCGAGGCCTCAAAAAGAAGCCGGGCAGTCCAGTGGCCGAGGGAGGCACGTCCCAGCAGGGGCCCGTGTTTGGGTTGTTCCACGAGACTTGGCCGCCGGCCAGGTATGGAAATGCCTCTGTTTGGCTCAGTGGTGCCGCAGTGTCTTAGCACCTGCGTCAAGTTTGAATCACTGCGCCTGAGGAATGGTCAGACACCAGGCACCCAGTTGTTGACCATGCCTGGGCGGCTGACCATTGTTAAGGATTGCCAGTGGCTACGTTCCCCATTGACTTCCAGTGGGCCTTATTTTGGGGCTAATAATATTTTGCAGCCCTTGGTTAAGCCACTGCTGGAAAAGGGCCTTTCCACGTGTCAGTCACGAGGGTTGTATTTGGTCTAAGTATCATAAAAGCATGCTTTTTGGTGGTATGCACTGTTATTTTGCGTTGGCTGAATTCCAGAATTCACCTACATTCAATAAATTGACCATCTATGTTTAAACACTCCAGACATCATCTTGAAGAGATTCATCTGGAGTAAAACAAAAACTGCTTATCATATGATAATTACAATAACTAACGATGTTAGTTTCTGGGCTTTATAACAAATGTGGGTTCTGCAGTCAAATATATTTTGCTCACTTAATAAGTATCACATAATGGAGATTAAAATACTTAGTATTTTTCCTTTATAGGTCTTTCGATATAAGTTTACACTGAACAGATTTTTTTTTCGTTTTAATTCTGGACCACCAGCAAAGCACACTTGGATCTGAAATTCACAGTAGCATGCAACTGCATATGTTTTTTGTATTCAATCATTTTAGGTCCAAGGTGTGCTTTCTCATTCTATGATGTACACAAGTGAAATATTGTTTCACCATTGATTTGGCATGGCGTTATTCTCTACACAACAACTGAAAGGTACATTTCAAGGAATTACGTTGCCATCGTTGGCAACAAATCAAAATAAATAATTCTTCTAATCTCAGATTAATTTGTAAACGCAGTAAATCACACGACACTTTACTTATCTATTTATGTCTCTGTTTCTGTGTCTTTGTCTATCTGCCTGTCGTTTTATGTCATTCCCAGGATGCATAATTGAGACAGTGTCTTGTATGATCCCGTGTGTGATGGTCCACATTCATAGTTTGGGTAGAGCTTCAGACTGAAAAGATGCAGCAGCTTAATCACTCCGTGCAGTATGAGACACTTTGAGAGATATATATTCTTGGTTCTTTCGGTAAAGTCACGTAGAAGGGAAACAATAAAATAATAAAAATATATTGTTTCCCTTCTACGTGACTTTACCGAAAGAACCAAGAATATGAATCCCTGCAGTCACGCAAGCTTTAAATCAAAATGTACACTTTGAGATGTTCAGCGTTTTAAATGGACGGCCTGGCAATCTGTTTCTCACTCAATATCTTGAATGTTAACTCCCATCTATGCCATACAGCTGTTGAGATGCATAAATTATGGGGGGGGGGGTGGTTCTGGGAAATGCTACACCATTTGGTACACCATTTTCCATCTGTCAGAAACAAAGGCTTATCCAAGTGCAGACTTTGTTTGGCCTTGGCATGGAATCACATCATCACATTTTCTTTGAAAAAACTTGCGCATTCTGGTGACAAAATGGAGCCTTGACGTGTGTTCACGTCTGATGGCGTTTTGGTTAATTAGACAAATGCGGGTGGTTAATTAGACAAATGCGGGTGATGCCATTGGCACTGATTCCATAGACGTTATGAATTTACCTCCAATGATTAGCAGAATGAGAGAGCACAGTGTTTCTAGTCAACTCGGCAAACAGAGGCAGGGAGTCGAATCGGCCACCTTAAAAAGGCATGCGCTGGACTTGAGGTTCACAGGGGAATTTAAAGTGTGCATTTAAAACTGTGTCGCTGGAGGTGGGAAATTTTAATGTGTCAAGTAACATGATGGACCACAAACCATGCATAATTGCTGCGTTGAAAAGCTGTTGTAAATATATAAGGCTAAAGTTATTGCTGAATATAGGAATACCAGATCTAGAGAAGTTTGGGTACCTGGTGGTGTTGAACATGGTCATGGGTGGTGCGTCGCGACTCGCAGACCTTAAAAAATATTTTAACCTGCCAGCATGTGGAGTTTATACAGCTCTTTTTTGTCCCTATTAAGTTAGCGCTAGAAATGTGCAATGTTCCCTTTTTCCATGGGAAAGTCTAAGACCTGGGCCTCAGAAGAATACTTACGTATAAACCGAGTTGCACTTGCCATGGCAGTAACAAGTCTTGACTGTAAATAAGCGGACAAGCACAGTGGGGACGACGTTATTGTGTGACTCTCACCTCGCCATAAGCAAGTTCATCGACTGGGCACAATTGTTACGCGAGGCATCAACGGACGCTGAAGGCTCAGTGAACACTTGTGTCGGAATCAGAGACATTTATGGCTCTTATTTCCTGAATGCAGATACGGGGTCAACCAGCCTGGCCTTGGATCAGCTTTACGCTGTTGCTATGGCTAAGTTGACAAGTGCGTTGTACGTCTTGGGATTGATCCATACACAGTTGCTCTGAGCTTGCCGAGAAAAGCCACAGGGCACGGAATGTACTTGCAATGATGTGTGTGGTTCATCGAGCAAGTTGGGTCCTCTGCTAGGTTAGGTTTCATCGTTGTACGTGTTGTTTTTGTGTGCATTCATTGTATTTGTCTTTGGGCTTTCGTCATAGCTCTTTGTAAACTATCTTTTCTTCACACTTTTGACCAGGTATCTCACTTGGTTTTACTTTCATAATTTAAACTGCTTTTTTTTAATTGTAGATACTTAATAATTGAAAAAAAACAATCTTCAATTAACACGCATTGTATTTTTATCTTATTTTTCTGTGTTTTTACGTGAATCGCGCACATTTTTTGGATGCGTAGTGTTTTTAATACAGCAGAACCCTTTTGCCAACCAGAGACGGTAGTAGTTGGGTAACAATATATGACACTTTGTATAGATAATCTTCAAGCTGGCAGTAGAAGCAAGCATATCTACAAAAAAAACTTAAATGTGGGGGGGCTACTGGTTATGGTACAAGATTCCATTTTGCACATACATTTTTGCTTCAGTAAGCAATAGGGAAAACACATTCGAATGGGGAGGAAAGGTTTGCACTAATAGGTCATCGTTAAAGGGCCCTCAGCATGCTGGGTTATATCATGAACCTTGTGGCAGTGTTTATGGTGCACGGCCATTCTTAATGAATGCAACCTTACCAGGTGACCTGCTAGGCCTCTCTTGACAGTGCTGCGATTCCGAAAAGAATGCAGGCATCCTGGCCTTCTGATCAGAACGTTTGCCAGTGGCCTGTTGAACTTAAGTTGGACTTGCCACTGCCTAATGCAATCTGTGGAGTGCACCAATGAACTCATATCTGTTAAGCATCATCTCTCTGTTCTGAAGAAGGGCCAATGCCCAACATTTTTTGCCAACCATCTATTTTCTTTACGTAGTAAGGCAGTGTTAATGAAAACTGTTGACAGTTTTCGTTTGTACACCTTTGCACTGGTCAGGACTCATTTCCATTGATATTTCTGTTGTAAAATTGTATGGTGGCGGGGGCGGTGTCGGCATAAGATGATCATTGTTATCTTACTCATTGTTCCTCATTTTGATCAACCTCGGAGAAATTATTGGTTTAGTTGACCCCCAACCACGATTTGAACTAATGAGCTTCGGACAGTGAGTGTTGTGCTTTAAGCATGGTGCCACCTGTGGCGTACACGATAACTGGTGACAGCTGATCAACCAAGTTAAATAATGGTGCCTTGCACAATTGCAGTGGTGCATAACTAAGGCTAAAATTGTATCACGGAGGTCATGGAAATCGTGAATATGAACAAAGTCCATGAAATATTGAAAATGGCTGTATAAACACAATTGGTTCGGCGCTTTATTTCATTTCAAAGATACCGTATGCTCGTGATGTTTCCGTACATTTTTTTTATCCTGCGTATCAGCTGTGAAATGTACTAAAAGTTCGCATGTAAAAATCTCAGGATTATTCATATGGGGGAGGGGGGGGGGGGGGTCCTTGCCTCACCTCTGTGTGCGGCCGTGAGCACTGTAACGCAGGGGTAATAGAACGGGAGCGGTGAACGACAGCCTCCCTTCCTCGTCTTTCTGCTGCCGCCCGATAACCGCGTGCTGTGTGCTGTGTGTGCAGGACGACGCGCAGGGAGGGGAGGATGACGCACGCGTGCGACGTGTGCGGCAAGGTCTTCCGTGACTTCTACCACCTGAAGCGGCATAAGCTATCGCACTCGGATGAGCGGCCGTACGAGTGCCCTGTGTGCAAGCAACGCTTCAAACGCAAGGACCGCATGAGCTACCACCTGCGTACGCACGAGGATGGCGACGGCAAGGTCTGCTCCTGCCTGTGGTGTGGGAAGGGCTTCTCCAGGTGTGACCACGCACGTACGCACCCACACCCAGCCACTCATCCATACAGCCACCCAGCCACCCACACAGCCACTCATCCATACTGCCACTCACCCAGCCACCCTCAGCTACCCACTAACACCCAAATTATTTTAAACTATTTTTTATTTGACCAAGTAAGGCCCACTGAGCTATATAGCTCTTTTTCAGGAGCGACCTGGCCCCAAATAATAACTCAACAAAGTTGCTATCATGTGGACATTTATAGCAGCCAAATACTCTAAACGCATGTTTCTAAATGTGGAGGAAAAAACCGAAGGACCCGGAGAAAAATCCACATGACCACAGGGAGAACGTGCAAACTTCAAATATACAGACGTCGGGGTCAGGATCGAACCCACAAACTCTTGTATACCACCCACCCACACCCAGCCACCCACTCACCCACATCCAGCCACCCACCCACACCCAGCCACCCACCCACCCACACCCAGCCACCCACCCACCCACACCCAGCCACAATCAGCCACCCATCCATACAGCCACCTACCCACACCCAGCCACCTACCCACACCCACCCACAACCAGCTACCCACCCACACTATCAAACCTCCATTGCCAAAATCGTGATCACTGCATGCTTGTATAACCCCTTGTGTCCCTTGTGTCCCATACGTGACCACGAAGTCGTATAATAGCTCTCCGACGTGTTTTCGGGTTGCGCCGCGTGATGTTCGGCGTGCTGCCCGACGTTTCTCTGCACGTGCTGGGAGCTTTTTGAAGCTTCTCGAAGCAAGTTCTCTGGCACGCGGGGCGGGACGTTGGACATCGTAGCGAACAACATGAAAAGACATGGGAAATCTATACGGCTCAACCGCGAAAGCCTCCATTACAGTAGGAGTCGTGCAATGAATCGCATTGCCTCTTTTGCAGGACTTCGTGTTGTGATGTAAGGGAACAGCCTTGGAAGATGATACCACAGAAGCAGTTCTGATGTCGCTTTGACAGGCATCACTTACGCAGCTCTAGATAGTGCTTCTTCATGACCTGTAAAGAATGATTTGCTTCACAACGAGGTTTTCAACATGATTATGATTTTAGGCTGTAGATTGAAAGCACCGCACCAACATCTCCAATAACACTATGTTGAAGCTAGTTGTAATTACTGGCGAAACGTCGTACTCAGATTGTAAATGTTGTGGCTTGGCTCTCCAACACACCGGTGGTGCTGTACTAGTGACGAATTGGCCACGTTCTGTTTACGTGACAACCCTTACTAGTTGGCTGTGTTGGGTGGTGGCGGGTTTTAACGACACATTTATATATTTACGCGATCTAACCCAAAAACCTCTATTATGGATGATATTGGTCGCGAAAGCCTACGTGTTAAACATTATCTTACTTTAAATAAATGTCTACTAGGGCAATACATAGGGCAATGGCTCTTCATCCCAAGGCACAAGATAGTTTTGTTAAAGGCTTTATTGTAGTGTTATTGTCTCTGACTATACTGTATTGCCTCTGCAGTCGCTAATATATATCGCAGTTGCCCTGAATCAAAAAAATTTTGTACATTTTTTTTGTACACCTGGTGTCTATGTTGTGACCATGTATTGAGATCACATATAGGCTCTCGGCACTGTTGGCTCAGACCCTTGACATGAGCTTCACATCATCATGCTCCTGGGTAGCTGAACCCTCTGAGTTTATAGTCAACATCCTAATATTTTGTCGTGTAGTGAGGCCCTTAGGCACACTCTCTCTGTTGCCTTGTTGATGAAGTAGTCTTGGTGTCGTGCATTGTTTGGGTAATTGTCATGTTGTCAAAAAAGTTTAAAACGTTTGAGTCCTTTCGTCAAATTTGATAAAAAGTGCAGTACATGGAGTAGCCATGAATACTCTTGACATTCAAAGTGTGAATTTGAACAGTGAAGTTGCAAATTTAGGTTTTAATTAAGCTTTGTAAAAGCACTTAATTTTAACATGCTATTACAATCAACACATACGTTTATAAATATATAACTGCACCAATAGGTCTTCGAGCAATCAGTGGGTGTGTATTTTAATTATATAATTTTTCAGTTAGGCACTCGTGTTAATTGTAGCGGTGCAGTATTTAAATGTATTGTAAAATTTATTATTGAAGTCCCATCAATATGTTCTCAATATCAAAATGATTACTGGGCTGTGCTCATTTACAATGGCATTCAGTGGAAACTCTACCAGTTTATATGACGGGGGAAAAAAACAACTGTTTACTTCTCACGAAGTGCTAATTTATTAATGAACCCCAGAGGGATGATGGGTTTCTAGTTGACTGTGGGCCGAGATTTATATTTACGGCTTCCCAATGGAGTTGATAGCTGCCCACAGTGCCACCCAGTAGGACAGAGTGACAATAGATAAACGTTTTAAGCTCATATGAAAACTTTACTCTTATACAAAATGTAAAACAACAGTATGTATTCTATACCTTAAATAACACCTCCAAGTTACCTGGCAAGTCAACAGATATTGTGCCTTTTTCTCGGTAGGTCAACATCGCGTTTTTCGGAAAAGTTGCAGCCCTGTAATTACTTGCTCATGCCATTGATATTGGAAGGGCCTCCACTCGAGAGAGCTATAGGGTGGCTTTTAAATGGTCATTGGCCTACTCTTTCACACTAGGCAGACGTCTAGGAGGAGGTGAAAGTACTCGCACGTTGCCTCAGCACACGCGCGACCTGCTGATCGACAAACTGCGTTTGCACAAAAGGGAAAACTGATCGCAAGTGTACCATCAGATAATCCAGGATGTTGGCATTGTTTCAAGGCTACTTTAACACATCATGTTCAACCAGTGGAATGGTACTGTAAGTGAAAAAAAAAATTGGTCAAAAACAAACTTTGAATGCACCCAGTTTTATTTGCACTCAAAAGTTGAAAATACATTATTTTGACCCCGGAATTAATCAAAATTGATGTGCTCAATGAAAGTGAGTGGCTTGCATTAAGAAAATTAAACATATCGAAAGGAAGCCACCCACTTTTATTGAGCACATCAAATTGGATAAATTCCAGGGTCAAAATAATGTATTTTCTACTTTTGAGTGCAAATAAAAGTGTGTGCATTGATAAACTTGTGTTTTTTTTGTTACCAACAATTTTGTGTACTTGTTGGTTGGTCTCGCGTTAAGGAAGAAGGAAGCACAGCGGCCGCTCCGACGCCATGACGAGCGGCGATAGAAGCGCTCCTTTCATTGGTTATTGGCTGGCCAGCAACAGCCGCTGTCATTGGACCATATGTTTCCCGTCGTAGGTGGGCGTGACCATTCGTGATTTAAAAAGGGGGGGGGTAAAAAGTACGATGATTAAATATTCAATTTTAGTTTAAAATACGAATAGGACTACGATGAGCAGGACCTGGACCGTTTTTTTTAAATGAAATCTTGAATTATCACGTGAGGCGAGTCTGTAGAAAATTTCAGCTCGTTGGGCTTCGTAGATCCGAAGATATTAAGCGTCAAAGATTCCAAAGAGTATAAACAGACAACACGGCGAGTTCAATGAAAGTGTGCAAAAATAAACTCTTATAATAGCAAAAAAAGTGTGTTGGGTTGGAAGTGGTACACAAACTCAAACAATTGTCAATCACATTGCCCTGAAGAGGAAACAACATATATAAATCTTGATTTGAAGCTTTCGTGACTGCAGGAATCCATACTACGTGACTTTACCGAAAGAACCAAATAGTAATATATATATAAAATAAGTGACGTTTCGGGTAATTATTCTGCTTCATTTAGCGATATCATACCCGAGAGATAATAGCTCTGCTATAAACAAAGGGCCATCACCTATTACTGTATATGTTTATTTAAATATATGTTGTACTCGGGGCAGTGTTTATTGATGATTGTGGATTCAAAGCTCATCACACGTGAGCATTGCTGACAATGTCGCTGCTCGTGTTTCCATTGTCTTTCTTCTGTTCATCTATATTGCAGGTGACGCAAATGTATATAACTCTGTTGCATGTGGACATTTCTTTGTAGCTTTCCACCCTTTGGAAACAGACTTTCAATTAATGGTTCTAATGACAGTAGAGCAATTAAAATTATTATAGTCTGTGGAAGAGCACAGCTTAATTAAAATGCACCTTTAAATGAGATGTGCGGGTGACTCAGAGGTCAGAGGTCACAGCGCTGTGCTGGCACTGCTAACATCCTGGGTTCTAATCCAGGTTTCAGCCGCCTGTCATTACACCGGGTTTTCAAGTGGACTGAGTTAATGGTTTATCGTGTATTCCCGTCGACCAGTGACTACAAATAGTCATCACGTTACATTTGGTTTCTCCATTTAATTTTGCAGAATTACAGCTCTGAGAATGAAATATCGATTTGACTGTTACACAACAAACATTACTATAACATACAAAAAGATTGGTGGAAAAGGTTTGCCCCCATACTGTGTGGACAGTTCACTTAAAGGGAGCTCAGTTGCTCTGCGATGTCTGCCTCTTAACACAAATAATTGCAATTGGAAAAACAGCAGAATGTGTCCCTAGAATAGCGATTGAAGGCAGATCATGAAATGAATAATGATGAAATAAAAAAGGCAAAAAAGAGAGGAGCTGTGAAGTGCTTTTGGAAAACCGAACTTGACGTTGAAAAGCGGCATACCAATTTATAGAGCCATTCCCTCATGCAAAGGGTTGCACTGCATTGCGAGCGATCCAAATGGGATGCTTCGTCTTGTGACGCTAAGCCGATATCACAGTCGGGATAAAACTGTGAGTGAAAAAATATACACCTCTAAAAGCACGCTTGGGAGCTGCGTCATTATGACCGCTCTTGGTTCCTCGCGTTCTTGTGTGGGAGTGCGAATGGGCGCGCACTCCGGTTGCTGAATGCTTTGGTCATGTGGGTGTGGGGGCAGGTGCGGCAGTGTCGCGGTTAGCGTGCGCTGCGCTTGGAACCTGGAAACCCTTGTACCGTTCTGGCCTTCATAGGTGCTCGCTAACAGCACTTGCCCCAACAGTGTGTTCAGGCTATATGGGGGATCTTTGTCTTTGTGGCATGGGTGTGTGGTGTTATTGCACAAATTGTTCCAGTTCATTGCTTACCCAATGCATCCCATTGCCTGTCCATCCTCCAACTCTGTTCCGGGGATCCTGCTACTAAATTGTGAAAGCGGGATATTGAAAGTATGTAACGACAGGCACTCATTCTTGTTATGTAGTTATTGACGTTTTGTTGTGCCATCTTATTTAATTGATATTTTATAATTTGACATAATTACATCCAAGTTGGTTTGAATTTAATTTATATGTCTCATTCTGAAACCTTTTGACATCACATGCACATCCTGCGTATGCCACCTGCAAATATTCTGCGCAGTTTATTTTAGGTAAGGCTCATTGAGCGAAGAAGCTCTTTTTTTTATGGCGACCCAGCCAAAGTGGCAAGCATGTTACATGGGATGGGACGATTTAAAGGGATTGCATAGAACATGATATATGGTGATTGTTGGATATTTGTGAGACATTTTTTCGTATTTGAAAACACATTTATATGGTATTTTGAGCACTAAGTGCTGAGCACTCTATTTTATGAAATCACACTACTGGGATATGATTTACATGCTGTCATAATTATGGCATGCAAATGTGCTGTGGAGCTGTGGGGCTGCGGGGCTGCGTGGCTGAGTGTGTTTTGTGTCAGTAAATCATTCACGTCTTTTATTGATAACTAGGTGAGAGCACAGGGAGATCTAGTGCCATCTTCACACGGGAAAACTTGACTAACTAAATTTGCAGCTGTGCATTTGTGTAAGTCCACGTTGATAGCAAATGTTGGTACAGTAAGGGAAAAAAGTATTTGATCTCCTGCTGATTTTGTACGTTTGCCCACTGACAAAGAAATGATAAGTCTATAATTTTAATGGTAGGTTTATTTGAACAGTGAGAGACAGAATAACAACAAAAACATCCAGAAAAACGCATGTCAAAAATGTTATAAATTGATTTACATTTTAATGAGGGAAATAAGTATTTGACCCCTCTGCAAAACATGACTTAGTACTTGGTGGCAAAACCCTTGTTGGCAATCACAGAGGTCAGACGTTTCTTGTAGTTGGCCACCAGGTTTGCACACATCTCAGGAGAGATTTTGTCCCACTCCTCTTTGCAGATCTTCTCCAAGTCATTAAGGTTTCGAGGCTGACGTTTGGCAACTCGAACCTTCAGCTCCCTCCACAGATTTTTTTTTTATGGGATTAAGGTCTGGAGACTGGCTAGGCCACTCCAGGACCTTAATGTGCTTATTCTTGAGCCACTCCTTTGTTGCCTTGGCCGTGTGTTTTGGGTCATTGTCATGCTGGAATACCCATCCACGACCCATTTTCAATGCCCTGGCTGAGGGAAGGAGGTTCTCACCCATGATTTGACGGTACATGGCCCCGTCCATCGTCCCTTTGATGCGGTGAAGTTGTCCCGTCCCCTTAGCAGAAAAACACCCCCACAGCATAATGTTTCCACCTCCATGTTTGACGGTGGGGATGGTGTTCTTGGGGTCATAGGCAGCATTCCTCCTACTCCAAACACGGCGAGTTGAGTTGAGGCCAAAGAGCCCCATTTTGGTCTCATCTGACCACAACACTTTCACCCAGTTGTCCTCTGAATCATTCAGATGTTCATTGGCAAACTTCAGACGGGCATGTATATGTGCTTTCTTGAGCAGGGGGACCTTGCGGGCGCTGCAGGATTTCAGTCCTTCACGGCGTAGTGTGTAACCAATTGTTTTCTTGGTGACTATGGTCCCAGCTACCTTGAGATCTTTGACAAGATCCTCCCGTGTAGTTCTGGGCTGATTCCTCACCGTTCTCATGAATCATTGCAACTCCACGAGGTGAGATCTTGCATGGAGCCCCAGGCCGAGGGAGATTGGCAGTTCTTTTGTGTTTCTTCCATTTGCGAATAATCGCACCAACTGTTGTCACCTTCTCACCAAGCTGCTTGGCAATGGTCTTGTAGCCCATTCCAGCCTTGTGTAGGTCTACAATCTTGTCCCTGACATCCTTGGAGAGCTCTTTGGTTTTGGCCATGGTGGAGAGTTTGGAATCTGATTGATTGATTGCTTCTGTGGACAGGTGTCTTTTATACAGGTAACAAGCTGAGATTAGGAGCACTCCCTTTAAGAGTGTGCTCCTAATCTCAGCTTGTTACCTGTATAAAAGACACCTGGGAGCCAGAAATCTTTCTGATTGTGAGGGGGTCAAATACTTATTTCCCTCATAAAAATGCCAATAAATTTATAACATTTTTGACATGCGTTTTTCTGGCTTTTGTTGTTATTCTGTCTCTCACTGTTCAAATAAACCTACCATTAAAATTATAGACTGATCATTTCTTTGTCAGTGGGCAAACGTACAAAATCAGCAGGGGATCAAATACTTTTTTCCCTCACTGTGTGCGTAGTTAAAAAAAAATTGTCGTTTATCGTGTAGTGATGTATCTTAACGCATGACTTTTTCTTCTGACCCCTGACCTCCCACACCTCCTAGGCCTGACCACTTGACAAGCCATGTGCGGCAGGTTCACCTGCGAGAGAGGCCCTTTATTTGCCAGGTGAGTGAATTTTAATGCTCTGGAATCGTGATGACTTGCCACTACCATCTGCTTTCGTCCATACAGTAGTCCCTCGGTTAACATTTTTAATCCGTTCCACGAAAACTACTGTTAACCGAAATAACTGTTAATCAAAATCACTTATAAGTAAAAAAATAAGTAAAAATCACTGAGTCTATAAGAGAGCTGTTTCCACTGCCAAAACAGAAAACACAATGTAAACGAATCCAGGCGAGGTCTAAACGTGCATACATGGGTGTCGCTGATTGGTTGAGGATATGCATCAGCCCACTTTCGAGTGCTCGGATTGGCCGAAATTGGCACCCGCGTGCATAACATAAACATACCGTTGATTGAAATTTGAACGTTCATCTAAACCATGGGGTCCTATGGGAGGCGAAAACGTTCACCGAAAAACCATTAACCGATGCCACTGTTAACCGAGGGACTACTGTATTTATGTATGAATGTATGTAGAATGCACCGTGCGTAGCCAGCCGTGCTCATCGGGGGTGTCTGTGGCCACCAGCGATTCTCGTCATCCTTTGTGTAGCCAGTCCTCTTTGTCACCCTCGGAAGATGTCAACATCGTTATCATCTATTTTACCAGACATCTGTCATATCTTATCACGGGCGTCTAGCACCATCCTCGTCGGTGTTAAATATTGCACATTGTCATCAGGCTTCATAATCGTCGTCAACTATGTCGTCTTCTGAAACTTGTCAGGCTCCTTTTAACCAAGGCATTGCTTCTGTAGCTTCTATGGTATAATTTTTATGGGCGAACGGAACAAAATAACGCAGTTTCCAAATAAGCCCCGAAGCATTTAATTTCAAGGGATGGCAAGGAAAGGTACTTAGTTAAAAAATGTCTGCCTAAATATTAGTCGGCGGTTATCTCGTAGAAAAGGGAAATAAATAAATAAAGGGAGGGGCATGCCAATTAAATAATGAGTACACAAAATCAACTCCGTTACCTACCTGAACCCCCATTCTGTTACCCAGGTAAAACAATGCATCTTTAAGATAGCTATCTTATGAGGTGGTGGTGGTGCTACTGTCCCAAGTGGTATACAAAAAAGAATCGGCTATCAGCTTTTTTGTGTGAGTGGCAAATAAATCGTGAGCGGCTAATGGTGCTTCCAGAACCATGAATTGTGACGTATGACTGGGTTAAAATCGCACTCACATGGCTTGCGGGCGATTCAAAGTGAACAATTGACCAAGTGCTTGTGTGTGTGTGTGTGTGCGAGTGATATCTGAAGTGGTTGCTGAGCTTCGGCTAGTTCGACTCAGCCTTAAACGAGTACCTGGTGTGGTGTGTGAAACATCAGCACTGGGGGAGACAAAAGTGGATGGGCGTGGTGCTGGCCTCACCGCCCCCTCGTGACACCGTACCGGCCTTAAGAGGCGCTCACCTAGAGCACCTGCCCCTACAGTCTATGTAGGCTATACTGGGGGGGGAATCTTTTACTTCTTTTCCACTGCACAACTGAGCTGTGCCCAGGGCCAAGGTGGCACCAGATTGTTTTCCAACTGCAGAAGCCGAGCCGTGGCATGGACTTCGTGCGCATTGAACGGAGTCTAGACGCACCTAGATGATGCAGCGACGCTGTGCCTCGCGGTGTTACCGACTGACGTCACGGGCAATGGATTCTGTCATTAGCCCTGGTCATGCTGCTTGGCCCAGGGTCGGATGCAGGCAAAGTGTTACACGGTTTGATTCCGGCTCGGCACAGGAAAATAAGCCAGTGGGAGACCACCTTGTTAGCGCGAGGGCCCCAGGCTGGCTCGGCTCGGATGTGCCAGTGGAAAAGGGGTATTTGTGACTGTGTGTGTGTGTACGTAGACGTGCGGGATGAGCTTTGCCACACACGAGCGGCTGCGTGCACATGTGACGCGCCACCAGCAGAAGGTGCCCTGCGGAGTGTGCGGGAAGCAGCTGACGGCGGGGTACGTCGCCAGCCACATGAAGCTGCACGCCAAGGCCGGCAAGACGTCGCCCAAAGGTGAGGCAGCCAGTCAGTGGCCCAGGACCGCAGACACCGATTGGTGAAGCCGTTTGAATTGCTTATGACTCCCCTAATGCGCATCCTCTGCTGCAGCGACCAAGCCTTTGCCATGGAACCCCGCGGTTAACCATTGATCAGTGGGAGGCCACTCATTCTCTTCTGCTGCACCCATCGTCTGCCACTCACTGTCCCCCAGCCGTTATTGCTGCCGAATCTGCCTCTGTTCAAGTCCACGATCAAGACCTTTACGTTGTTGCATTTAAGACACTATATAAGTCCAAATTGTGTTGTATTACTCTGTTGTAATGAATATCCTCCCTGCAAACTGATGTTGACAGCATACCAGGTACTAAATTGAGTCTAAATCTTTCCAGGCAAGACCAAGAACAGGTTTGTGTATAGCTAACAGTGAAGGGCACGAGAATAGGTTTTCCCCTTTTTCCTGGCAACAAAACAGGTGTTAAATTAAATTTTGATTTAAAGCTTTCGTGACTGCAGTAATTCATATTCTTAGTTTTTTCGGTAAAGTCACGTTGAAGGGAAACAACAAAACAATACAATATATCTTCTTTGGTTCTTTCGGTAAAGTCACGTAGAATGAGAATAAAATAATAAATTGATAAAATAAAATAACACAATAATATTCTCACGACGTTTCGGCCACAACACAAGCGGCCTTCATCAGGTGAAGGGAGCGAGACTGTCACTCCAGCGCTGTCCTACCAGACAGTCTCGCTCCCTTCACCTGATGAAGGCCGCTTGTGTTGTGGCCGAAACGTCGTGAGAATATCATTGTGTTATTTTATTTTATCAATTTATTATTTTATTCTCATTCTACGTGACTTTACCGAAAGAACCAAAGAAGATGAATCATTGCAGTCACGAAAGCTTTAAATCGAAATAAAATATATATATAAATTGTGACTTTACCGAAAAAACTAAGAATAGGTGTTAAATTGTTAAAACACCAAACTGAAACCTTTTACAAGGAATCATGTCTGCATTAACCACAATACTTGTGTTCAGAATGCAAACAAAAAACATACTCCGACTGATAATATATGCATTGTCTTGGAAATTGATTGGTCCACACCAGAGGCACCTTTCTTTTGAGCCTAGTCTCAAACGGTGTTAGACCTGAGGACGCCAAAAGGCGTACACAGCACAAAGCCAATGCCACTATCAGAGCAATGAGAGCTCGGGGTGAGCAGCTACATCACCTGCCAGTACCAAAATATGAGAATAGGTTTTGCACTTTTTTCTGGCAACAAAACAGGTGTTAAGATGTTAAAACACCAAACTGAAAACTTTTACAAGTTACGTGAAGGGCATTTTATATATATATTTGATTATTTTATTGTTTCCCTTCAACGTGACTTTACCGAAAGAGCTAAGAATATGAATTACTGCAGTCACGAAAGCTTTAAATCAAAATTTGAACATTATGCCGTGTGTTGCTCTAACCCGCACAACACGATTCCTTCTTTCAGCAGAGACAGCCAATGGAGGCCCCCCACCGGGCACGGGACACAAGCACGCGTGCAAGCTCTGCGGTGCCAGGTTCAAGTTCAAGTCGCAGATGAAGCGGCACGTGCGTGCCGAACACCGCGATAGGCCGCCTGGCAAAGACCCGGCCGCTATCAACGCAGGCACCTCCTTTCAGGACACCGCCTCCATCAACGCCCCCGCCACCACCGCCGCAGCCATGGCCACGTCCACCGCCGATACCGGCAAGCGCCACAAATCGTCAACCAAGTCGGAGGCGTCGTCCAAGCACAGCAAGCACAAATCACCGTTGGAAAAACGCTCCTCGCATTCGTCGAGTTCGTCGTCGTCTTCTTCGTCGTCGTCGTCGTCGTCGTCGTCATCGTCTTCATCGTCATCGTCGTCATCGTCTTCATCGTCGTCCTCCTCATCCCCACCCTCGTCTTCTCCGGTCTGCGTGGCCGCCAGCGCCAGGCCCGCGGCGCCTGCCAGGCCAGCGCTTGGCAGCCCCGCCAGGGCGTCCATGTCCGTGCTGGAGTCTTTCGGATTCCAGGTGGTGCAGTCGGCGTACCTCAACTCGGAGGCGGAGCTCAACTCGGACGCGTCCTCCGGGTGACTCCGCCGCCAGCCCCCCCCACCCCCCCGACACCCCCCCGACACCCCACCTCCTCTCACTCCTGCCCCGTAGTGCGCGCGCCACACAGAGGAAACCTTAAACGGCAGCGACGTCGCCTCCAGTTGTCGCCACCGTCGTCGCTACCGTCGTCTCGAACAGCGCAACGTTTTTAACACATCCATCGTCAACCATCGTTGTCGATGACACCGCCGCCGCTGCTGCTGCTGCTGCATTCATCGCTGGGCACCAACGTCTGCCGCCGTCGTCACCACACGTAGCATTCACCACATTGCTATAAGCGTCGTGATAATAAACCGCGTTGCAATCGTCATCCCGGGCGTCGTCTAGTCCACTGCTAGTCATTGTCACCAGCGCTATGTTGCTGATGGTAGGCAGTCGCACCCATTGAAAAAATATCTTCTGAAGATAGTCACCCGATCCGCACTTCTCTACGAGGAGGGTTTGAACACCATGAGCTGCGTGGACCATTTTTTTTTTCCCCCCTAACGTGCTCCTTTCCGACCGCAGCTAATGTGTGGTGAAGGCATGGGCCGCTGCTCACCTGGCCTACACGATCTGTGCAAGTGCACTTTGGCCGTGAGCACATGATCGTCACGTGCTCTGGCCGCACCGCACGCCACACTTTGGAAAAAAACTTGAAACCATTGGACAAGTTTGCTATCGCTGGGACGCGATTAGTACCTAGTGAAAATGTTATCATTGCCAGCTGATATCTTACGTGCATTTCATTTATAATGAAAGTTATTACGAGACTAAATATTGAGGAAATTGCTGGGATTTTTTGGTGAAGTTTATGGAAAATGTTTTTTGGACTTGGTAAAAAAATTGCATCGCTTTGACCTGTGATTCAAGACACAGCAACGGCTCTGAAACTCGCAGCAGGACAGAGTAGGTTTCCCAGTATCATTGTTTCTATTATGCACTCCTCGATAGTTATCTTTAAAAAATAAGGACCGTATTTTTTGCCAAGTTGAACTGCAAGCAGTTGTGAACACTGGACCGTATCCAATGTTGGGACAGTGTGGAGTCTGAGCGATCTCTTTTTTGATAGGGGTAAGAAAGAGGAGAACTTCATTCCTGGACAACAAATCCACCATGGTACCGTAGCTCAGGAAAGCAACAGTATATGGCGAAAATGTTGTCAGTACACTCCAGCCTGGATCTAACGCGACACCTTGGTCTAATGGGAGGGCTGCATTACAGGTTTTTTTTTTCCCCTGGCTAACTGTGCAAAGGTAATTTGGCTGATTGAGAAATAAAGTTAGTTTGGTCATTTCCATAGTTTTGATTTACAAATTAGATAACGGCGTTTAAGTAGCCTGCACTGCCGCTGCAGGTATACAATCTCGGGTGATATGGCTTGTTTCAAGTTTCATTTATTAGGCATGGCCCTGCGAGCCATGCGGCTCTTGAGTCGGGTGCAACCGCAACAAACATAATATGAACAGAGAACACTGTTACGTGTGAAACCATTGCAGTGATACCTAATAGCCAATCGTTATGCATCGCAAGTCTTCAGCATTACGAGGTCGGCTGATGAAAGTGAAGAATATAATCGTGAGACGACATTTAGTTGTAAATTATTACATTTCATGTGTTGGGGGGGTGGTGGTGGGCGGGGGCGGCATTTGTGAGTGTGCAACACTGTGAACCATGTCACCCGGGTTTGACTCCTGAGTCGGCCGCCACAGATTAGACCGGCAAGTGATCCAGTCCTGTCCCCCCCCTCGTTATTAATTCAGCAGTAGATTGACAAAGGGCTGTGAAATGTACTTTGAATGTATGATTGTTGCCATGTACTCTTTAACGGTCATGCAAAAGTAGTTTGTTACGCACAGGTCTGGATCTTAAAATTAAGTGCAGCTTCCATTAGCCCAAGGTCTTGGTATGTTTGGCAAAAACACGTGGACGTTATTTTTTTTATTTGTGTTGAGATAAATTCCCTACAACATTGACATTTTCAGGTTAAGTCTCTTTGACCAAAACTGAATGTACAGTACAATTAAAATGTGGATAATTTGGCAAAAAAACCCTACAAACTTGGATATCTGTACGTGAATTCCATTTCCAAGAATTTTGGGAATGTTCTCGAGCCCGTTTCTTTTAAAGTTTCCCACGCAAGCCGGTCCTAATGAGAGGTATAAGTGCTCTCGTTGTGGGCTATGCTGTGTAGGAGTTGGGGATCTTGTTCCTATTGGTGGTGGAAGGAGTGACACAAGTGAAACACCATTTTCAGTTTTAGATGACACGATGTGAGCTGCCTTTACTGTATTTTAGCGCACAATGGAAAGAATTATTGAGTTGAGGTTTAGCTACTCCCGCGTAATTCTAAGGATAATTTATCTCTTTTTATCTGACGTGACTTTGGGTATTAGTCTCCCCATCTCCTATACTTCACTGTGCCCCTGAAATGCAAATCCAACCACGGTTGCATGAGCACCGGAGTGTGCAGAACTGGCATATAAAAAAAACACAAACTCTAAATAAATGTGCAAATTGTCAAGGTGACACATGAGAAGCAAGATTGTGAACGCTGATCCTCCTCTGGATTATTTCGAGGTAGGACTTTGTGATGTCAGCTCGCGTTACGATTGCCTGTAGTCGAGGAAATCTGCTCGCTTAAGTTCCAAGGTTTTAATGTCTGTGCAGCACGCAAGTGGATATTCGGTCTGGGTTTTGCTGTTACACTAATGAAAATCTACACTATGAATTGCTGTTACCGTGCCAGCCTTTAAACGTGAAACAATGCGGATGTTGAAACGTGGTTAAATTTAGTAAGAGGACCGGCTAAGGTATGTAAATATTATTATGCTCCTTGTTTTCTTTTGTAAAAATAAATAAAAAGTGAGAAAAAAAATAATCCAACAAGTTCTGTAAATATTGTTTGTGTTAAATTGAACATTCTGGGGCAGCTGTGTGTTTTTTTTATTTCATTTTGTATTTAAAATAAGCAAGGGTGAACTAGAATGCTTAGGGTAAATTACAGTGACAAGTAATTAATTACAATGAACATTCACTGGAATGTAATACAATTTAATATTTTTCACGTATTTTATTCAATACATGATCACTTGTACATAATGTCCTATCCATACGTTATGCTATAATAACTTAGGTGGTATCTTTTATTAAACCAGTTGAGCGCCCAATGATACGTAAATTCATCTGGCAATATTTGTCAGGAAAATTATTATTCTGCTTGTTTACCCAGGAAAGCCTGCCTTGAGTTTCATGACATTTATTGAGGAGGGGGTTGGTCCTGCTAAGTTTTCGCAGGAGGGGGAAAAGATTACTGTGTGTTTCAGTATAGTTAATTGCGAGTAATTTTTCAAATTTGGACCTTGATGCCGGCACACAAATCTTGTCATTGTAAGTGACGTTACAGGATCATTAATTCCCACTGTTTAGCAGACAGCGAGTATTGTTTTATGGTTAACACATCCGCAGTGATGACTCGGGCGGACGCTGGATTAGATCCCTGAACCCCTGCAACATTATAAACGATTCCCAACGTGTACCAACCCTGTAAATCAGTCATTAAAGACTCCTTGATATCAATCGCAAGTGATCATTTTTGTGCCAGTGTCGATACCAATTATTAGTTTATTGTTCATTGTGAAATGTCAAGAGATAACTTATCTTGGTGAGCTCTAACATGGTTTAAATAAAAAAAGATACTGGAATAATTTTAATTTCATTTCACGTTTTCATTGTTTTAGTCTTGTCTGCTAACAAGTCCAATGAGTATTACATTGTCGATTGTTTCAATTCTCTTAATACTGATCAGAAGTAAATATGCACTGCACAGATATGTCGTTTTTGATATAATTGGTTAGAGACTATAATTCTGAGTTGGAAACATCCTTTTAACTGCGAGTTCGCATACACCGCTTGATACACCGACTTCCAACTTTTATGCAGAAAAGGGAACATTCTTTCCAATTGTGATTCTAATACATATGAAAGGAATTATCATCGATTTGTTTTAAAGATGTAATTTTTTTACACAACGTGGGTGTTGGGTTCCCCTGTTGTGGACACTACATAGAAAAGCTTTTATCATTACCATGTTATATTTTGCAGTTTCTGTCGTGGGCGGGGGGGGTGGTTGTGAAGCTGGTGCTGCTGCTGCTGTGTACATTTCCAGCCTTATCATTTTGTAGATAACGGCGAAGCTAAAGCATGCGTGTCTGCCCGCACGTGTACGCGTGCCGCCTATGCGTGCGACAACACCATAAGAAACGCACGACTATTCTCCACTATGTACTCGTACAAAGGCAGCAATATGTGTTGCTGTGGTCTCCATAAAACAAAAATCTTGCTACCGAACAGCTACTTACAAAAAGAGTAAAGGTCTTCAAAACAAATGTGACGATGAGCAGCCAGCCTCGCCCTGTATTCACGGAGCAAACATGAGCATATTATAAGCGTTACCAAGTTACAGCAGTGATTTCGTTTAGGCATTGTTTCCTCTGCTAATGATGTTGATTACATAGTCAATCGTACCGTGCTGGGGCCTTGCCAAGCCAAGCTTGGCTCGGGAGGCACGATTTTCTTTTCCACTGCAAAACCCAAGCCGTGTCGCTGATATCCCACACAATAAATGTCATAGATTGCATCCGTATCACGGTATTAATCAGTATTGGCTGATGCAAGGTATGCTGAAAATTATTAATCCTGCTCCCTGGCTCTGCTTGGGTCCCTGAGGCAGATTTTGCTTTTCTTGAGGATTTCAGTTTGGTTCTGGCTCGGCTCGCTGGCGCAGCTTGGATGTGCAAGTTGAAAAGATCTGTGTTGATGTGCGGGAACCTACCAAGGGGTTGTACTGTTTATTGTCCAGTGACCTTATCTTACATGGTCTCACTGTCCATTTTCTGTTCCTGCGATCATTAATAATTAATTGAAGGCACGTAGCTGGAGACCTGAACTTATGACGAGTTACATTTTTTTTAATAACACGAAACATCTAGAGCTAAAATGAATACTGTATGTATATATCTGCTGCAACAATGCACTGATACTCATAATTTTTTTTTAAGTTTAAATTACTGATGAAAAGTAAGTCTCCAGTATGTGCTGTCCCTGTGATTGATGACCTTAGGATTGGCATTTAGCGACATTACAAAAGCTGTTTAAAAAAAATTCTTCCCAGAGGTCACATTGGCAGTGAGAGCTAGATGTGTTTAATTTGGGCATTTATCATCCAATAATAATGGCAAGTGCTTGTTCGTTTACAAGACTGAAAACATTTGACATTTATTCCGAAATTGAAATGACGTCTTCTTGCTATAACCATTACCGGAAGCCAGTTGAATAGTGTGGGGTTCCGGATTTTGTTTATTTTTAAGCTTTCTTATTTGTACTTTTACTCTTGGTGTTTTGATACGACACTGATGTATCCCGTTACACACGTACTTGCTTGCACATTTTCCCCGATACTCTTCTTCAGGGGGAAATCCTAGCAAAACATTTTAGCTTGGACTGTGCATGGATAATTTGAAGAGACTTCAACTCGTTGCAGGGTTTGCTGGACATTCGAAGGATTTGAAAAAAAAAGGACAGTAATTAACGCGCAACATTTTATGGTCACGAGTGTTGCTAAACTGCGATTTTTTTAAAAAAGTGTTTAAGCATTTTTGAACCCCTTTTTTAAAGTTATTAAAATCTACGTTGTGTGCAAAAAAAATCGATTAGCATGTGTGTAAACATTTTGTGCACCCTTATTGCATATGGCTTTGCATTGCAACTCGGTACATCGACGTTTGGGTCTGACCACCAAAGCACAGCCTCGGGGGAAAAGCTGCATCGATGTTTTCAATGCCTCCGCCGAATTTAACCGAGGTTTATAATTGTGGTCCATGGACTGGTCACGATAACCAGCCGCACAGCCTGGTGCTTCCGTATTTCCCAATTGAATAACTGGGGTGCCCGTATCTGCCATGGATACTGATTCAGTATTTATATTGCATACGTGGATTTATTGGAGTAAAGGTGTTGACTTGCAGTGGGCTGTTTCCTGCCCCCCCCCCCCTCCATGGCAAATACATGTCAATGTGTACAAGGAGTGTGTGTTGCATTGCTAGTGTTTAGTATGGTTGGTTACGTACGGTGTGAAAGAAGATGAACATACATCGTGTGGTGCTATACGGTCATTGTACTGACAAACCAGCAAGTCTGGGTTATGTTTCAGGCCGCATCACCGTCACCAGGAGGTACAACTCGAAATGTAATTGGTATGGAATAGTACGTGGGGAATTGTAAGACACCAGTGGGAATCAGAACGCGAACATACCAGATAGGTGTCATTAAAAAAAAAACTGATGTTCCATGTTGATTTCTAAACATGCATTAAGTTGTCTATAATAGTTTGACCCAAAATGTATTTAAATGTGTTTTTTTAACCTACAAGTGAATACAGTATATGCTTTCCGGGCAAAAAATTACTCATCCAACAGTGGATTGACCATGGGCTGGCTCTTATTTGTACATCCTGTGAAATCTGGCAATGGGTGACTAACGTGCGCACGTTTGAGGAAGACAGGTTACCAAGATCTTGTCGTAGGCACCCATTGTTGACCAAGTCAGCTGGTGGGATGCCACATCAAGCAAAGACTTTTCAGTGATGGTAGAGGAATGGTGGGCTGTGATTACCTTTGCCATCTAATAAACAATGTTCAATGTATATAAAACAATAAATTAGGTTAGATATTTATTATATGTACTGTACACTCTTTTACACGACTGCATGCAACCCTATGTTGCAGAGTTTAACATACATACACACACCTTAAACAGTGCATAGTTCCACTGAAAACAGGTGCTGCATGTACTCTCGGCTTTACAGAATACAGAATCGCGTAACGTTTGTATTCAACATTGGTCCTCTTAGCACCTGCTCTGTAACCTGCCTATGCTCAAATCATGAGTTCATCCAATTAGTATTTTAAACAAAGGTTATGGAAAACCACGAAGTTGCAGTTGAATTACTCGGTGTCCACACAGCCATTTTAGCTGGATAAAGCGAATGCATCAAAAGCAGCAGAGGCCGGAGGGTTATTGGCCAATGTTGTGAAGGAGCGTTAACTTGACGCCAATAGTTTGAATAACTACCAGTGGATGGCAGTGTCAACGACAAAAAAACCCCTGGCATTGGCCGGTAACCACCATGATTATAACCCGTCTCTATGGAGGGGGCTTGTCAACAATGTCACTGGGCAGATGGTAAAAGCCTGCCCACAACAACTGGGGTCCAAGTACGAACATTTTAAAAAAACACTGCGCAGAGCTGGCCAAGTACGGCCAGTGCTTGGTGAAGGCAATGTCCAGCCTGGAATCTCACAGCACGGCAGTCTCTTCACGTAACCCATAGGTACATGGCCACATTTCAGGCAATTTTTGACATTGGAGCGACAGAATGAATGAACCAAGTCTGACACAGGCTGCAGTAAAGTAGAAAATGTGTCGTCCACTAATGATACATTGGATTCGTAATTACAGCATTGTGGTTCAGAACACCAGCACACTCTGGAGTCCTGTAAAGCCCAGAGTGAGAGCACCACCTGCGTGGAATTCAACCAAGTTTGACAGCTGTAATTTACTGTCCTGTGCAGTTAACAGTAATCCAACACTTGCAAGGCACCAAAGCTCAGCTCACCAATACACGGCTCGGTTATTTGCCGAACTCCGCTCAAAAGTCGTATACATCCTTTTCTAAAATATGAAAAAAGGCATGAGAATCTACTGCATTACATTTTGGTCAGGCAGATGACAGTCGCGTGAGACGGCCTCCTGCCCCAATTTTGACAACACCAGAAGGGGGTCACAGAACGCATGGCACCATTCAGTCCATCCGGACGTTCCAGCTCCACTTTCAAATGAATCGACCAACTGTTCAAATGCGATCCTCCTCGCGTATCGGCTTGGATTAACCGCAATGCAGCACACGCACGCGGGCCAGGGTTGCCTGGAACACCCGGACTGGAGGGATGATAGACTGATGCCGCCAGGTTCAGTTATTAGGTTTGAACGGACGCAAAGTAGCGCATTCAGCCGTGCTTTTACATAAACAAATTTTACAACATCGAACAAGCAACAATAAAGTAGATTGTACGGTGGAGTTTTACCGAACCAAAGCCCGAAATTGCCGTTGAGCGATTGGAGGCGTACACGTATATAAAAAAAAATCAAAATTCTTCAACTTATGAAAGCTGTATTATAACAAGGGAAACAAAGCATTATACATGTGCAAGAATCAGTTTGTGTTTTGTGGAAATAGTGTATCGGACATCAACCACCTCCGATGACGAGTGAAGACAACATTCAAATCCTCTGCAGTTACGTCAGCAACATAATGGCTTTACGGTCTTCCACAGGATCGCCTGTATAACGTGGGTCTATGGCATACACGATCCCTTTTGTTTTGGGAAATTAGTCTATTGGTCTTTTGTTCTCATTCTCAATTGTGCTATCGGAATGGCACGTGAATGCATTTGCATATCTCGCAGAACAGTACTCGGACGCGTTAGAGAATCGCTGCTGAAGATAGTTGTCGCAGAACTCCAGTGACCCTTTTTGCATATTTTGCACAGTATTTTCCCCATACACTACGCAATGAGATAGTTGCATGACGCCGAAACCAATATTTACATTCTCAGACCTGGAATTCAGCCAAATTAAGTGAAAACCAATATATACATTATGTATATTTTATCTCCACTCGCTGGTGGCCAGGTTGAGACCATGAACTGGCCTGTCCTTGAGAAATCTGTTTTAATCACAAGTGGCTGGCCCAAATTTTAACCTAATATCTCTGCAATGACCTGAGCCAACCCGACCATGTGACATAATGATCTTAGCGCAATCCACCAACTGCCTTTCTTATGCTGCTTGCGTTCAGGCGTGTGCTACCACACAGGCAAAGGAAAGGTGCATGCACTGCCTGGGCATCTGTGACATTGCAAGTCAAACCCGCTGAGAATGACTCCATCCAGCCAACAGGGAGAGGGCTGAACTGATGGGCGACTGCCCTGTTGCTCACCTTCTTACGTCTTCACTGTGTAACATTGAGACAATTGCAAAAACCTGTGACACTGCGCCTTAGCCTCGTTGCAGATTGGTGCTGGCCGTTACAGCGAGCGGCATGCCTACACTGACTTGGATACGCGGTGCACAATAAACACGATTTACAAAGATTTAACTTGAAACGGTAGACACAACATGTTCCGGCTTTTCCTACCTGGTTCGGTGCAGTGGTGCTCAGGGTATGTCAACACGTGCACCTCTGCATGCTTTTAAAAGAGAAGTGAATCTCAGTAATCTGTCATTACAGTGAATATCCCTTGACTGGTAGTAGCTGTGTGTAATGTTAATCCCTCGCAAAATGCAATGCTTATGGTCAATGCCGAAGACACGTGAAATATATCATCCCAAAGGTGGCTAAATGTGTTCGTTTTAGGGTGTTTCCATGTGCCCTAATGGTGGCGTTGGATGGCCAAACGAGGGACAGGTAGTAGTTACATCACAGCTAACGAAAGAAAAATAAACAGAAATGGTCAATCAAAATGCTTTACATCACCCTGGTTCATCATGATTCTGATCAAAACAGTCTTTTAACAATTGTTTACATTTGCACACATCACCTGCAGTGCACAACTGAAAGCTTATATTAATCCCTGCTTAGGAGTAGCATTTAAACTATCACAAACATAACCTGTTAACACTACGTAATTAAATAGATGCCGTGATGCTGCGTTGGCAGTGGTGCAAAAACGCAATTAACAAACTCAACACATTTGTCAATAAGTGCCCTTATAAATATACAATAGGCTATGTTTCGGGTAATGGCCCTTCCGCATAGCACTTAGGGAGGCCAGAGACAGAGTGGGTCATAAGAGCTGGAGACTGCCCTTTACACCATGGAGCGTTTATGAGAATGATACGTAAAAAATATTTTCCGATTAAGTTACATTTTTTTTGCATATGACACGTAATTGTAGCTATTGAGTAAAAAACAAAATGCCTCATTTAATCTAAAAGTGTTAGTAAATTTACTAATTTACATTGAAAGTGGCACGGTGCCGGCCTTCGTGGGCACGGAATCGGAATAAAAAATAAAGTAATTTTGTTGATGTCTTCAGGCTGGAAGACGTACCGAGGCTACCCACAAGGCTATGCGGGAAGGGTGTGTGGCGCAGTTTGACACCCGGCTATGAAGACTGCAATCGTGTCGCTAAGGTTCTCTGCGGTGAATACAATGTCTTTACAAACGAACAGCGCTATGCCTCTCTAGATACAAATTAACGTCGTGCCGCTTGCACGTTCAGAGGTTCAGTGGTGAAGGGGACACCCACACTCTGCAACTTGCAGACGTCTCAGAAAAACAGGAAAACGTTAACTAGCCCATTTGGGGAGAAAAGGACCACCCAGAGGGACGCGCAAACCTCGCTCGTACGACTTTCATGTGTCCTCTATTGTCATGACCGTTGATTCGGGTTCAATACAAAGTTATATTTAACCAGTAATACTTTCTGATTACTGAAGGGTTTGTCTGATATTCAATAGCTACTATTAGGTAACTATTCATTTTCTATTCTTGGGTCTTTCGGTAAAGTCACGTAGATAGGTGACTTTACCAAAGACCCAAGAATATTAATTCCTGCAGTCACGAAAGCTTTAAGTCAAGATTTATTCATATTCTAATTTTAAAACTGGTCATCAGCAAAGTGCAGTCTCCAACTCTTATTATCCACTCTGTCTCTCTGGCGTCTCTAATTGGGCAAGGGGCACCATTGCCCAATACGTCACCTATATATATATTTTATTTTAAGGCCACTTATTTTTTCTTAATGCTACATAGGTGTTTGTGATCTTTTAAGCATGGGGCCCACTCATTTTATGTATGCTGCTGCAAGACAACATATTACATTGTCAGGGTTTTTTCAGCAAGACCAAATGATCAAAACAAAGGAAAATCACGTGTCTATTTAGAGAGTTCACTGTAATGAGTCTCTACAAAGCCTGTGGTCAACTTTACAAAACAAATTACATTAATTGCAAACATCCAGTGCAAATATCAATCAATCCGGTAGGTTTGCATGTGTCTGCATACAACACTGATTTGCAACGAACACTGAAAGTGGTTACATGAAAATAACCACACTCAGGAAATGCATTTCTGATAATGTACTCAGAAGAATGTAACTTTATAGGATTACAGGACTTCATAGAATTTGGGAGATTGTTTCAGCAAGAGGCATTGTGGTATCCAAATGTGAATTAATATGGCAAGAGGTGATTATACAATAGTGGAGAGGATTCTGCATCAGAGCCAAAAATCAGCATGTGACAAATATTTAATGCCACCTTATCCCTGTTTATATGGAATATCTACACCAACGGATTGACATCGTTCCCATTTTCTGACTGTCTAATAAATCAATCTCTTTAAATTACTTGCGTAAAAAAAGTACAACATGTACCAACCCATGCCCCATTTCCTTGTGCTCACAAAAAACTGCAACAATGATGGATGACCATCAGTGAAGCTTTTTGAGAACACGTTTAAAATTTGAAGATCGGACGGATGACGTTCTTTTCTTTAAATTACACGCAACATATTGTACCGTAATAATTATTTTGTAGTGACCACTGGGGTATCTAGGATGTTCCGAGGGCCTCGCCAAAACGAATTTTTTGTCCAGCGTTGAGGTTGAAGCTGAAGTCCGCTGGAGCTTCAAAGATGAGTACGACGGTAGAGCCCAGATTGAATTCACCCAGGTGCTCTCCTTTCCGGAGTGGGATGCCGCTACGGCTGGGCTCCATAACATAGCTGAAGTCATGGTAGCTGCCCTTCATGTAGCGGGGGCTGTTCGTGTGCAGCTCCTGGATTGGAACACACAAGCCAAGAACGCACACGAGTATATTAGCCGCAGAGTGAAGCCAACAAATAGTGAACTATTAATGTTGTGCATTCGTGCTTACGCATGTGGCGAGTTGTTGGGTTGTACCTTGGGCAGTTTATTAGGCCGGTTTGTTCTATTTTTTTCCGGTCATTGCTATTATGATGGTTTACATTTTGTCCTAATTTTATACTGAAATATTGTTCAGATCCGTTTCACCGTTATTACTTTTTATTTAATTTGTCAAGTCTCTTGGGATACGATTGCATTTAGGAAAACAATTGCACTATGTTTTCTTGATACGTCAATGGGGGTAAACAACGACAATAATAACGATGGATAACAGGTCAAAAAAACGTAATGCGAGACTTACATTTATAATGCACACAGAGCGTAACAAACATCTCAGAGCAGAGAAATAAAATAGAGGAACATGGCAGGGTCTATTGTAACTTTCTCAGCTGCCCCACTACTGGACATCTGTGAAAAAGCGATTCATAGCTCATTGGATTTCTCGGGGATAAATAAAGATTGTGATTTTGAAGGAATGCAGAGATGCAATTAAGGGGGTGCGAAGGAACTGGACTGAAAAGGCAAGATTGGGGCAGATTTGAAAGCAAGAGAGGAGGGAGCAGGCTGGGACGTGGAGGAGGTTGCAGAGGTAGAGAGGGGCCTTGCAATGGATATATTTGAACTTGAGGGACACATTACAGTCCATGCGCTCATGAATGTGAAGGTGGTGACGTGCGGGCCAGGTTTGTGGCAATTGGAGAGTGGGATTTGGTCCTGGAAAAGGACTTGGGGCCGTGACATTTTGGATCAGCTGTAGTTTAAGTATCAAGGGGTTCTGGAGTCAGAAATAAGTTTGTGACCTTCCGAGGCCACCAAGACACCCAGTACTGGGGCAGCACTATGTGTATGCACACACCTTGTCGAAGTAGATTTTGATGGAGCCCACATTTGTGGCGCCGACCGCAGTGAAAGAGAAGAAGCCGTGCTGCCATTCCCCAGTGAGCACCACACGCTCATTGTGGCAGAACAGCTCCTTGATCCAGCGTGCCACTCCAGGACTCACGGACATGAGTGTCCCTGTGCGATACCCAGGAAGACGACCAATGCGCAAGTATTCACACGTGTAGTTGGAATATACGCACAAGTTCATGCGGTACATATACGAGCGTGTGCACGCAAGTGCAAGCCAGGCGATGGCACCTCGACACCTATGGGAAGGGAGTTTCACAACATTTGTGATAGACCAACGCTCACCTCTACAGTGAGGGGTTACAGGCGTGCACCACGACCGCCTAGCATCACAGTCTGTACCTGTCTGCATTACACTTTGGGTTTTCCTAAATGCCACACCTGGCCTCGACCTGCTCAATGACCTTGTCAATTGCAAAAACGGTTCAGTAGAGCCTAGGCGGGAACCTGGTTTTGACCTACAGACAAAGGTAATAAAGAGTCTCCCAATTAAATTTTGATTTAAAGCTTTCGTGAGTGCAGGGATTCATATTATTGGTTCTTTCGGCACGTAGAAGGGAAACAAAATAAAAAAATGTAAAACAATAAAATTCTCACAACGTTTCGACTGCAACACAAGTAATCGTCACTTTTTTCAAATTTTCTTGCTGTGGTTTTCACACCTGATGATGATTGCTTGTGTTGCAGTCGAAACGTCGTGAGAATTTTATTGTGTTATATTTTCATTATTTTATTGTTTCCCTTCTACGTGGTGACTTTACCGAAAGAACCAAGAATATAGATGACAAACCGTTATAAGTTGTTTTTCTAAGGCATGCTTTAGACTTGATCCAAGTGGGGAAAGAAAGCTCAACTCTCTTTTGCTAAACAAAAGCCAAAATATTCTTGGTTCTTTCGGTAAAGTCACGTAGAAGGGAAACAAAATAATACAAATGTAAAACAATAAAATTCTCACGACGTTTCGACTGCAACACAAGCAATCATCACCAGGTGTGAAAACCACAGCAAGAAAATTTGATTGCTTGTGTTGCAGTCGAAACGTCGTGAGAATTTTATCGTCTTATATATTTAATATTTTATTGTTTCCCTTCTACGTGGTGACTTTACCGAAAGAACCAAGAATAATAATTTTATAGTTTTATATTTTTATAATTTTATTGTTTCCCTTCTACGTGGTGACTTTACCGAAAGCACCAAGAATAAGTCTCCCAATTACTTAAGGCACAGGAGAATGCTCAGAGTGGCCCAGGGCACCACTGAGATCCTGGGACAGAATCCAGGTTCAGTTCAGTTTCAGTTACTTTTGAAGTACCCTGTGACCTAAGAAGCTCTTGAATCAGGTTACAGTCACCTGTGATTAAAATAAGATTAGCAAGTGTGGTGAACTGGTCTCCAATCACTGACCAACGATTAGACAAAAAACACCATTTTCTTTTCACATAACATGGCAAAATTCCGGCTCTAAGTATACAAAATATTGTTCTGACAAAAAAATATCTCACAGCATAGTGCTGTGATGTGGTGCAGTAACTACTCAAAAGTGTGGGCAGGTTTTGAACCATGATGATGAACTGAGATGACTGCAAGAGTTGAGCATTGTGTCAAGGCCGTAACACCCACTGGTTTGAGATGCCTGCGCGCGGCAGTCAATTAAGCTCGACTCACACACGCACATAGAGCCACACACACATGGATTGACACACACACATGGACTCACACACACACACATCGACTGACACACAGAGCCACACACACACACATCGACTTACACACACACATCGACACACACACACATCGACGTGCGCGCACACACGCACACACACATGGACTTGCACACACACACATGGACTTACACACACACGTGGACTCACACACACACATATACTTACATACACACATCGACCCACACTCGCACACAGACTCACACACACGTGGATTTACACACACACACGTGGATTTACACACACACATGGACTAACACACACACACATATTGACTCACACACACATCGACTCTTACACACACACAGACTCACACACACACAGACTGACACACACAGACACATGGACTAACACACACACACAGACTGACACACACAGACACATGGACTAACACACACAGACTGACACACACACACACAGACTGACACACACACACAGACTGACACACACAGACACATGGACTAACACACACACAGACTGACACACACACACAGACTGACACACACAGACACATGGACTAACACACACATACAGACTGACACACACAGACACATGGACTAACACACACACAGACTGACACACACAGACACATGGACTAACACACACAGACTGACACACACAGACACATGGACTAACACACACACACAGACTGACACACACAGACACATGGACTAACACACACACAGACTGACACACACAGACACATGGACTAACACACACAGACTGACACACACAGACACATCGACTTACACACATCGACTCACACGCACACATGGACTTAGACCCATTAATATTTTTAAATGAACTCATATAATTTATAAATATTAGTTGTCTACACACACCACACATTGACGAACACACACACATCGACTGACACACGCGCAAACACATTGACTTGCCCACACATACATATGGACTTATGCACACACACACGGACGTACCCACACTAAGATCGTCGCAAGACATGCACATGGGCACACACAAGGACTTAGACACAATAATAATTATATGAATATGTACCAAGTAAATTTAGAAATATTAGTTGTCAGCACACAAACAAAAATATTTTAATACTTCCCAGGTGATAGTTAAAATAATAGGTTTCTATGTACGTGAGTTTAGCGAAAGAAGCAAGAAAATAGTACTTACTTAACATTGGCGTGGTGAGGCCTAGTCCCGTGCAGAGCCCCCGGCCTCGCCTAGATTGGCCAGCCAGCCAGCCGAGGTGGCACCTTGGCAGGCTGGGGCTGGGCCGCTACCCCCCCTCCAGCCACGATCCCCCCACCCGCTCTACAGTAATATCTACGGCCCATAGTGGTAGCGTCTACCGACTGTATAGTAGTAACTGCACGCATCAGCGTTTTGTGTATTTTTATTCAATTTTTAACGCGAAAGTAAATGTCCCCCTCACCCCCACCGAACGCGTGCGCCATGGTAGGGGCCGTCCCCCCCACCGAAGGCGTGAGTTGGTATGGCCGAGCGCGAGCAAGTAAATAAATAAAGAAAAATCGCACTAAATAGCTAATTTAACTACTTTAAAGTTGAGGGATGGGAAAAAGGAATAGCGCTTGCTCACCACGGGGCTTAGGGCGTGGTACCTGGCTATTTTTTTAAAAACGTAAACCCCACCGTTTGACAGCCCAATCCTTCTCAAGTGTGCGAACACACACACAGATAGACAAAAAATTACATTTATAAATAAGACACACCAGTCATTGAAGTGATAAAGGACTCCCTGTGTAGACCTATTATGCTCAAGCTCAACGGCAGTTTGTTGTCCTTCCCCCGCACCTCTGATTAGCACAGTTGGCGACGTGCGGTGCGAAAGAAGTTTAAACATACACATTGGAACAGGATCGGGCCAGGTGCAAGGAGCAGAAGGCTTCCCCCCTCTATTGCCACCCTGTGGCGAGGAGGAAGCAGGGAAACCGTACATGACCGAACTTACGAAGAGGGACCCTCGTAGGGACCTTGAGTGGACGTAAGGGTGCAGCATGTCAATGATGTAGGCTGGGGCAATATGGTTTACTGCTTTGTAATACAACAATAGGATTTAAAACTGTATTCTATATGAAGCTGCAAGCCAGTGCAGGGAGACTAACACGGGTGAAGTATAATGCGAAGAACGTGTTCTGGTTAACACCCTAGCAGCCACATTTTGAACATGCTGTAAATTGATTAGCACATTCTTAGCCACGCCAGGGAGTACGGCTTTGCAATAGTCTATGCGAGACGAGATGAAGGCATTGACCAGCTTTTCTGCATATGAGGCAAAGAGAAGGGATCTGATATGGGATTTATTCCCAAAGATGGAAAAAGGAAGTCTTTGCGATCTTTTTATTATGAGCCTTGAAGGACAATGTGGGATCACAGATGACCCCTAGATTTGTGACTTCCTGTGCCGAACTGATTACATGACCATCCACCATAATGTTGAAGGACGCAGCTTCATGAAGTTGGTGGTGTGACCCAATGAGCATCACCTCCGTTTTAACACCATTAAATTGGAGGGAGTTTTGTTATATATATTTTATTATTTTATTGTTTCCCTTCAACGTGACTTTACTGAAAGAGCTAAGAATATCCTCCCGTGTAGTTCTGGGCTGATTCCTCACCGTTCTCATGATCATTGCAACTCCATGAGGTGAGATCTTGCATGGAGCCCCATGCCGAGGGAGATTGACAGTTCTTTTGTGTTTCTTCCATTTGCGAATAATCGCACCAACTGTTGTCACCTTCTCACCAAGCTGCTTGGAAATGGTCTTGTAGCCCATTCCAGCCTTGTGTAGGTCTACAATCTTGTCCCTGACATCTTTGGAGAGATCTTTGGTCTTGGCCATGGTAAAGTTTGGAATGTGATTGATTGATTGCTTCTGTGGACAGGTGTCTTTTATACAGGTAACAAGCTGATATTAGGAGCACTCCCTTTAAGAGTGTGCTCCTAATCTCAGCTCGTTACCTGTATAAAAGACACCTGGGAGCCAGAAATCTTTCTGATTGAGAGGGGGTCAAATACTTATTTCCCTCATTAAAATGAAAATCAATTTATAACATTTCTGACATGTGTTTTTCTGGATTTTGTTGTTGTTATTCTGTCTCTCACTGTTCAAATAAACCTACCATTAAAATTATAGACTGATCATTTCTTTGTCAGTGGGCAAACGTACAAAATCAGCAGGGGATCAAATACTTTTTTTCCCTCACTGTATGCAACAAAATATAAACGGCCAACAAGTCGTTATAACGATGCAGAAAGAAAGGATAATTTTTTTTTCTGGCGAGGACAAAATAACGTTCCCCATCACAATAAGCACACTGTGCAATTAATGTTGGGCTTGTAAGTCTGCTTTGCTGCTACAAATGCCATCCCAGTGACACCACCCTGCTCAGGGTAATAATTTCACGCTTCAATGGTAATATCTTATGCAATAAAGGTTGCATGGGATATCACCATCAACCGTACAAGCAGTTAGATGTCACAAAGACATTTTAATGAATGTGATGTTTGGCTGTTCCCTTGCACACACATTATCCAGTGTTCCATCATCAGCTTTTAATGTTAGTGTCGACCTGTTTAACTACACTCGTATAGGAGGAAGTAATGTACAAAACAACTAATGGGTGGTGACCAGGCATAGCTTGTTGCAGAGGTCTACGGTTCTAATTGAGCATCTGTCCCGATGAAATCTGTGGGTGTATTAACCTTGAAAAATATACATGAGCCGCCTGCTTCACGGTGGCCGTTAAGAGATCCTGCGATGTCATTCACAAAATTAGGCCATTGTGTGACGTAGCGTCATGGTCCAAATTTGGGAAATACCCGAATATGACTGGATTAGAATATACATAGAAATAATTATCCCCTGCTGCAAAAAACTTGGCAGGACCCTCCTGAAACAGTCCCCAGAGACTCAGTAAGGCTTTCCTAGATAAACAAATCACATGCAGTTGGCCCGACATATACAGTAAGGGGTTAAGAAGGTTGCATTGTGCTCGCACAGCTTAGTGAGCAGCACATTTAATTCAACAATTTGTTCCACTCATTGTTTTGTTTCTACATTGATATCTAGGGTAATCCGGTTATTGATATATTTATGGCAGCGATTACTGCATTGTAAGAAGGCCTGATGAATGTATATATGGATACAATGAAAAACAATTTCTTTCCCTCTTATACACACACACTTTTAGAGGTGCTTATTATTCTAGGTATACTTGTTTATTCAGAAAGTCTTACCCGAGAATCAAGACTTTTTCAATAAGTTCCTGCTAAGTTTTTGAAGTAGGGGGCAGATGACTGATGTTTCCCGATCAAGCAATTTGTCAGTAATCTTTCCAATTTGGCAAATTTCGACCAAGACGCCAGCATACAGTGACCTACTCTTCTTCGATTGATGTCACAGAATCTTTAACGTCCACCATAAAGCAGACGGCACGTATTTTATGGTTAGTACACTTGCAGTAATAACCAAGGGAGCTCCACAACAAGCGGTAAACACATTAACACTGGACCATTTGACCAAACACCAACTGTAGTTGTGCTGTTGATTGCATAGGTCCTTTAAAAATGTACGACCAACCTCACGAACCGGGGAAACCCCCTACAAGATTTTTTGGGTTGGATCGTAATAATAAACAAAAACCTTTATTATGAATGTATAGGCCAGCTCTACATACCTTTGAGCTGCACTCAATAATAGACTAAAAGCAGGTAGACATGTGAAATGACGAGGAATGTAGGGGTGAATCCAGATTTTACGTAAAATGCACTAACGGAAAGCAAGCATTACACTTGCATGCCATTTTAGTTTTCACCTGGCCAGCAGCTCTAGCTGCGATTGTGGATGTTGAACAGTGGGGGGCAGCAGTTGCCCGCATTCGCGGTGGTAACGCCCCAAACAACTCGTGCCAATGTCTAATCCAGACATGGGCAAAGTACGGCCTGTTGGGCTTTTTAATCCGGCCAGCCAAACTTGTCCAAATATTATTATTATTAAATTAAATTTTACCTTTCTCCTGTAATGCCCCCATTTCCCCATTAGATGGCGGACTTTGACCGTGAGTTACGACATGTTTTTTGTATTTTGATTTAAAGCTTTCGTGACTGCAGTAATTCATATTCTTAGCTCTTTTGGTAAAGTCACGTTGAAGGGAAACAATAAAATAATAAAGAGCTGAGAATATGTTTTTTGTATTGTTCATGTTCGTGCAATTTGTTAAATTGCCTTGCAAATAAATGCTTTGCTACCTGTTAAAGGCCAAATCCTTTCATGTAATGATTTTTACATGTCATTTATATTAGTTCACACAAACACTCCATCCATCTGTTCCTGGCCCGGCCCCTCTGTCAAATTTTAGAACCCACTGTGGCCCGCGAGTCAAAAAAATTGCCCACCCCTGGCTCTAATCCTTGCCACCTTATGTTCTGCGACGGCATTCACTAAGCGCACCTGGGAAGTGCCTCCGGTGGTGCACGGTCCAGTCAGTAGGCGAGTGGAAACGGTGATAGTCCCCGGGCGCCAGGTAGATCACGCAGTGGTACAGGGCATTGCCTGGTCGGCTTACCAGCTGATCCTGGAGCACAGTGCTTTGCACGGGCTCTGTGTGGCACGCAACGCATACACACACTTGTGGAGTCACGAACACTGCTGTGGCAAGTGCTGTTACAGATCACCTATTAAGGCCTGCAAGGCACACAATGCTCAGCTATCTCCGACGTTAACACAGTACACCAGGTATTGAATTAAGGCCAAGTTGATCCACGTGAGGCCTAAAAGCAGGTTTGGATACTACTCCTTGCCACACATGTAATCCATGGCCAGGAAGATAATCCAGAGAATCGAGTTCGCAGTGCAGTGAGCTAACTCCTCGACCATCACACCCCACACAGACACATGCAAGCACTTCACTTAACATGCATGTTGTTATGCTAATGCAGTCAGTATATTTCTAAAACTGTGTCAATTAAATTAACATAACAAGGAGCAGGTTACATTTTACTCCAGAGTATTACAAAGGTGGCTTCAATAAATAACATGGCTTGCTTCTGTGCACGCAAAAACCAGCTGGCCATTTAACATTTAATTTTGTTATTGAATCAATAAAGAGACTATTTATAGAAATGCCCAAAATAATTTACATCTGCCTGTCCTATCCATCCAAGGTCACGTGTTGTATCAATAACTACAAAACCTCTAGACCTATCATTACAACACTTTCTGCACAGCTTACCAATAGAGAGATCTACGATGTTTGGGTAAAATTAGCAACACAATAATCCATACAAAGCATCATGAAGAAGTAATGTTATACTGTGTCCTTAATGAGGGTGCATGAGAAGCCACGTGCATGCGTATCAGTGCGCGTGCCAAACACGAGTGCTTGTTTATGCTGTCAGCTTGTTGCTACGGCTAAGATAGGGGCTATTTTTAGAGTAAAACAACCGATAAGGTCGTATTAGTTAGGATCCCAGCCTACTAGCCACAACCAAATACTGGGCATCTTGGCTATAGAGTTCTGCCACTCGCTGCAATAACTGCTGCATTAATAAAAAAAAACTTTTTTCATTGCAAAGAGTCAAAATAAATCCAGATGAAAGGTAGCCTGCCTATAACGAGCTTTGAAGCTTATTATGGCTTGCATGTTGTCTAGGTCCATGTTGTGATAAATGGCTTGGAAAGAAGCGTGAATGCGCATGGTCAAGAGCGTGCGAATGTGTGAGTCCCGCAAGCAACGTCACTCACCCTTGCTGGGCGTCCTGCCCTGCGGTCCCAGGAAACTCTCCAGTGAGTAGGTGACTCCCTTCACCTGCTCCACCTCATTGTTCCTCACCCGGCCAAAGTGCAGGATTTTGCCATCTGCAGGGCTCACCTGTCGACAAAGAAATTACAATTTATTTCTCACAGTGAGCGGCTCAACTGGCCACTACCCCCATCGTTGCCCCCCCCCCCTCTCCGCCAACTGCAACCCTGTCCAGGCTTCGTCCGTGAAGAACCTAACCACAGCCAAGCCTCATTAATGTCAAACAAGCAAACCACGTGGGAAACATCAGCTGATGCAAACTATCCCCATTGCCAAGTGTTGCTTGAGATTCCCAATGGAGATTCGCCCGCGATTCGTAACCACAGGTTGGCGAGAAATGGCGGCAGCTTGCGATGGCCAATGATGGTTAAAAGTAGTTGGGGAAATCGAATATAAAGCAGTATGAGGAAAGGAACAAGAAGAGTGGTCTTTTGACTTATAATGTGGTGGTTGAACTTAGTGCAGATGAGATGAAACAGACAGTCTGGTAGACCTGAGTCCTCAACATGAGTGGAAGAATCAATAAGCGAAGTTCAGGCGGACGTTATTCACGGTAGTGGCGATTGAACGGCAATAAGGAGATGGATTATCCTGTCGTGGACTGGCAGGACTTGAGCCACTTTAAAGAAATGTTTGGTTCAGTGTCGGTACTAGAAGCGAGATTGGAGAACCTACAATTTGTGATTAACGCAAAATTTGTAACTATTAATTTCGCCAAGAGGCCACGCCGGATCAAGATGAAACATGATTCAGTCTGCTGTGAAGGCATGCAACTGCTGCGAGTGACCGGCTGGGGTGGATGGCACCATGACCCTTAGTTGGTCAAGCGCAATATTAGTATCAGAATTTTTATTTAGACTTGAGGAATCCGATGAGTTATGAAGCTCTTTTTCACAGATGTCCAGTAGTATGTATGTAGAAATTATTTCCCACCATACAAAGCCAACTGTGCTAATTGGAAGTGCAGGACAACAACCCAAACACAAAAAAACAGTTCTAGAGAAATTAGTTTTCAATATAGATTTAAAAGTGAAGAAGTCAGCCTTGCATAATCAATAACGATTAAGTCAGTCAGCATCTAACAATCAATTGGGAGCATTCCAGACGGCCGCAGAAGCGCATTTGAAAGCGTGCGATGCAGTGACCATCTTTGTTGGATGGCCATCAAAAGCTGCCACTGCAAGGGTGACAAAAAGTTCACGTGACAGTTTAGTAGCAGACGCTGCACACACGCATGCTTGCTGGTGTCGTGTGTCTGTGGCCGGGTACCACCGGCAGCCTCACCATGCATTTGGTGCACACGGGTCGGACGCTGGGCTTGAGCTGTCGCCGGAAGAACTCTCCCAGGTTGCGGTAGTGCTGCAGGTCCTCGACGGCCGCCTCCGTCATGTCAACGCTGAAGGCGCGGATGTAAAGCGTGTAGATAGGCCGGCGGAGCCAGCCTGGCAGCTCCAGCTGATTGAGGCGCCCCCAGGCGCGCGACAGCATGCGCGTCGGCACGGACTTGTACACGGCCACCTGCAAGGAGACGAATGCAGGTGGCTTGAGTGAGCACGTGCAGCAGCAGCGGTAGCAACAGCAGCGGCAGCAGCAGCAGCAGCAACAGTCCACGTTGGTTGGCAGCTGGTGGCGGCAGCGCTGGGAAATCAATGTGAAAACTGCAATTGATTGTTAGATGCTAACTGACTAAATCGTTATCGATTATGCAAGGCTGACTTATTCAGGCGTAACCGACAAAGGAACAAAGGAGGCGACTGAAAAGTTGGGTTAAGGAAACAAAACTAATGTGAGCAAAACAGCAAGGTGAGTAAACAAAATAAAACAGCTGTTTGGAGGGACAGAGCTGGAAAGAATGAGAAAGTGTGTAAATGAGGACAATTACTGAAAGTGGACTGAAATCAAATTGAGGCAAGTGAGAGCACTGTGGAGGGTTTTTCGGAAATTTAATTTGACTGGAAAGCCAAAAGCCAAGAAGCACAGTATCTCATATGATGCAGCTTACACACACAAATACTCAGCAACAAAATGCGAACAACAGCTGAAGAGTATGTAAAGAAGGATTAAGGGACGAATCTTCAAAATTACTTTTGTGAGACACAAAGAGGAGCTCACTAATCAGAGAACAAAGGACGAGACTGGATGAGACTGGTGACGGAACGCAAGCGAAAAGGAGGGTACACCCCGGGGAGGAAGTCCGCCGCAGAGACGGAGCGATGAGATCAACACATGAAACTAAAATAATAACAATTTTTTTTATATTATTCGGTAAGGCCCACTGCTCTTTTTCAGAAGTGACCTGGCCACCAATGATAGATTAACAAAGTGGCTTAACATGTGGACATTTATAGCAACCAAATATTCGATAAAGGCACGTTTCTCAATGTCGAAGCGAAAAACCGGAGGTCCCGGAGAAAAATCTACCTGACCACCAAATATACAGCAGGCGTCAGGGTCGGGATCGAACCCATGACCTCCTGTATAACAGGCGAGGTAGTTAAAATCACATGTGCAGGATCAAGAAGGCATTGTTGAATCACGGAGGCAAAATAATGGGGGGGGGGGAGATACAGATCAGACAATGATTAACAAAGTAATTTAATGGTTTTTATGATTGATTTATACAGACCAGCGATAAGGGCAGGGGGAGGACTGACATATCATTGTCATCATCACTACAGCCACAAATATTTTGTGCCTAATCAATCAATGTCAACTAAAGAACTGTGGTAAACTCAAGAATCACTGAAAATATGAGCATCATCGTCATCATTGAGTATTCAGGTTTGGCAGTTCTGATGCGGTTAGCCTACTGTGTTCATTCATAACTTGTCGGACACACTTTAGCACGGGTCTTAGATTGTGAAGCCAACGCATGTAGAAATGTTCATTCCTGCCGCAGGTTGTTGAGTGAATGTATGATTAGATCGTGCATAATACATGGTAAAATAATGAGGATTGTTTTTAGCGTTATACACTCAATGACTTATGGTGGCATGGTGATGCCTCCTCCTCCTCTTTCAATCATGTAAAGGTTACTAAAAATAGACAATGGAACAACATTAATTATGTACCAAGATTCGCATGAAATGGCATGCGCCCACAGGTTGAACCAGTCGCACATCAAGAGCCCGAATTAAACTCACGGACATCAAATTTCAAGTTACCTTAGGTTTAAAAAAGGGCCGTTAACGCGTTTCTGTCCAAATCACTGTGTGAAAAGGCTTGCGATCCAACAGTGCCACTACTGTGTAGCTGTTCGCGGTCGTGTTGCACAACTATCTTATGTCTTTTTGGATACAACCTGAAAACACATGAGAGAAACCAACAGTATTGGCCAGGCCTACGCATGTGGCGTCTGTTATTTACACAAACAACATTACGAGGATTTGTATTTTAAAGATGTATACAAGTGACTGTCGTCTATTCGAGAGCTAATAACCACGCTGAACCTTTGCAACGCTTCGTAGGGGTTTGGCATAGAGCCCTGCAGTTTGGGAGAGGCACGCAGGGGATAAAGGAATGGCAAATGAGCCTGCAGGCTAATTGAAACTGTTACGTGACGCAACCTAGATAGGCCGTTGCAAATCAATTCAATTTAAAAGATAATTTACAGCAAGAGAATGTGAGTGTTAGGTTGATTAGTGGGCTGAGGAGGGAGAGTGTTGGGTGGTGGAAGGATAGATAAAGCAGTGCACACCATGTGTGTGTGTGTGTGTATAAACACATCTCAGCTGTTCTTGATAAGGGAAGGGACTGGTGCATAAAGCATCTCAGGACAGCGCATGACCCTGCACCTTCTGGTCAAGACTATAATCTCATCTACATAAGCCATTTGGAGTCAATGAGACAATTAAACATTCACAATGCATGGACACGTAAGCCGAGTTTACATGAGCTGCTAGTATCCGGACCAATCAAACTATAAAAGTAAAGCGCACTGACTCATCCAGCGCCTCCTGCCTACATTGGTCATCATCGTCTCCACGAGGCCGTGCACAGGAAGAAATATATGACGTCACTGTCATTATCTGAGTAACAAGATTGTTAATGTTTAATGCTTGTGTTACATTGTGTTGTATTTGTTTTTATTGTATTCAATGTTCTTATTTTATTACATTGGCGTGTGTTTGTACGTGCATTTTCTTGTGTACTGTCTAATTATTTGAGTTAATTATATATTGGATGATTCCCACACCGCCAACAGCAGCCATAAAATGATCTCCAGCCAGCATATTATTGTGCTTCATCAATAACAGTAAAAAACAATAATCATAAAATAACTGCTATGTGCGATATGCACCATTCTGATAGCGCAAAGCTATCACGATGTTCCACAGACAGTCTGCAGGGGCGATGTTCATACGTGCAATCCCAATTGAGTGAGATCTTCGGAAACTTTGGACCATGACACCAGCCTATTACATGGGGGGATCTTTACTGTCCCCCCTGTGATGCAAAGGGGATGCATTTTATGACAATATTTAGCAAAACGGACGATACCATTATCTTGCCGGTTATATTGTGCTAACCACTGCTCTATTGATAATCTAGCGCTGGTCATGGAAACACAGCTCCAGAGACCAGCAAGTCTTTCGCTTATTGGATGTATGAGCCTCATCCAATTAGCCCTGGCCAATGTAAAAAGAGCAATTATTTAGCCACTCGGCTTCGTGGAAGGACTGAGCCACTCCAAGTCAGTATGCTGAGAATTATCACCTGATGCTCCACGCAAATGAATAAGTGGATTCGTTGAATGCGTGTAGGCAAGTCTGCTGTAAAAGACCTGTCTTTAAAGCACTTTGAATGAACGGGTGGCAGCTAAGCTGGGGCAAGCAGGGAGCAAAGGCTTGAGTCTGGAAACGCAATCCTCATTGAGAGAACGGGACATTGTGCGAGACTTTGGCAGGAAGGTATAACTGTCAAAGTCAAAGTGAGTGGCAATTTTGAAACTAAATAAATTGTAAATGTATAAACAACAGCCTATTTGTGCCAAGCCTGACAGCATTTGAAATAAAACACATTTACAATGAAGATTACAGCAAAGATTGATTTCGTCTTGTGTGCTCCAAGGGTTCAATCAGTTTCACATGCAGCATCAATCAGACCTTCTGGGAAGGCAAGCGCAGTCATAGACTTGGCTCTTACGTTCTTTAAATAAAGTCATTCATGGTCAGCCTTAGCCGACTACACTGAAAGCTCACTGTACACAGGTAAAGAGTGGCTGCACTGGGCCTTTCCATGGATGAAAAAGCAATAGGACTTAACAATGACAGCCTTGCTCTTGCTTTCTGATCAAGCACCTTTTATGTGGCATGTTACTTAAATAACCAAAAGTACCCCCACTAACAAAAATCGTCAATAACAATGCCCTATAGAGGAAGAAATACATTTTAGGTGATGGCCCTCCTTCATATCTCTACTATCACCTAAAACATATCTCTGCTATGAAGCAGGGCCATCACAAACATCGTCGCCTATTAGGGCAATGGTATTGACAAATATCTAATTTCCCAGTGTAACACACTGTGGAAACATACTTATACCCTGCCGATTAATGAACAGACCAGTTGTACCTGGAATATAACCAGCTACAACTGGAGGAAGCATGCCCCATTTACTGTTTTAGGCGGTGAGGCATTTATTAAAAAATGTTGGAATGTTTTGCATAGGAGGGTGGGTGACTGTAAAGGAATGGGATGTGGGTATGCAACGATGGGAGGGGAGGTATCGAGGGTTGGCACACCACTCTATGCTTGATTATTGTCAAAGGACAGTTAGGCGTGTACACATGCACAGACACGAACAAATACGTGACCACTGCATGTAGGTTGGATATTTACATCAGGTTAATGTTTGGACATTTTTCATTTATAGCAAACGCTTTATACTTATCTCTCAAGAGCAGAGGTGTAATGTGCATGGCCCAACAAACACACTTTAAATTTTCTAATGTTCCCAGTGTGAAAGATTACCGTCGCTGGGAATGGACAGCAGAGCCTGCCAAGATGCTGCCACCGGAACACTAGCACCGGCACGCACGCACAAGACGTGCCCGACTGACTGACGCTCGACAGACTAACACAAGGGGGTGAAAGTTGGGGTGGTGGGGGGGAGTTCTTACCCTGCTGGACAGGCGCCAAGCGGGCCTGCCAACGCCCGGCAACAGCAGGCGCCACGGCTGCAGCGCCAACCAGGGCAGCCTGCCCAGCCTACGCAAGGGGCCTTTCACAGAGAGCGACGGCAAGCCGAACCTACAAGGGGGCAGAGAGCAGACACCGCAGGCGGGCAGCCGCGGGTATTCGCCCGTCAGCTGCGGGGTCGAACGCGCGCGAGAGCGACCTTTCAACTCCGAACTGCGGCCGTTGCACGAGGGCGGCCGCCTACCGCAGCGCAACACGACTGCTGCCGCTACTGCTGCCTGTGAGTTTGTGCCGTTCTTTTCACAGGGATGCGTCTCCAACAGAGGGTTCTCCTTTGACTGTGCTGCCGCAGGGGGAAGCAGGATTGCAGGTGCACTAAGATAGGTGCCAAAATAATGACCGTGGCAGATAAAACAATGGGCGAGTTTCTTAAAGTTCCCCTGCTTGTTCACCGAGCAGGATAAGCGGTACACCAGAGGTAATCAATCGGGAGATCGTATGCGGTGAGATAAGGTACGGGTAACTCCCGCCTGTCAATGAGTCTGGCCAGTGTGGAAGAAAAAGCCAAAATACCCTCGAGGCTTTACAGCACCCTCTGGTAGAGGTTCTTCTGCCACAGAGCATAGGCAAGGAATTGCACTACTGCACCGTTACCTCTTAAGGATGGCTTTTAGCGAAACACTCGAGGTTTTGGCACAGCCAAATAAACTATGTGTGGTGAAATAAAAAAGAATTGAAGACAATGACATCACAACATTAACATCCTATGTACATGCTAAATATGTGGTACTTCCACCTGTGATAATGGTTGGCAGTAGAGTACAGATTATTTCTGGATTTTGACGAAAGGGATGCATTCTTCAAAACAAACTTTTGTAAATCGGAATGGCTTTTCCCATTAATTGATATGAAAAATCAGGGATGTGTTTTAGACAGTCATTCCAACTCTACTGTTAACCTAAACATATACACCTGTATCACTATTTCACAATAGAAAAATAATAAGAACATGAATATAAAAACGATTGAATAATAATTAATATAAAAAAACTAAACCAATTAATCTTTTCAGGAAACTCAACAAAAGATCTGCATGTTGGAATGACTGGAAAGGTGATGTGGAGGAGTTACTGTTGCGCCGTATGGATGGATGATGCAGCCTTCCGGGTGCTTTTTGTTTGATCTCAAGGCGCGTGCCATTTGAAATTCTCTGAACGTGGAAATTCTATTTTGTTAATGGAAAATGTCCATAATGTGTCAATTGCGTGAACGCAAAATGGAATAAACCTGACGTTCGTAAATCGAGGAATACCTGTACTAATTTGGCAATTCAAATAATCCGCGGAATACATCACAGCAGATGGCTTTGATTATGATGAAGCTTCGTTTGAAATGCTATTTCTGTGAGGCTTGCTAGAGCCTGGAATATATTTGAACAGGAAATATATATTTTTTTTGCCAGAGCATGTTTCCTATTAATTAAATGTAAAATGTTGATACAAATGTAAAAAATAAAAAAACGCAAATGATGTTACTCAATTAGCCTGCATTTCGCATCAATATATCTAGCAAACAAATACTGCATATCTACAATATTGTTGTAATCCAAGCCAAGATGACACAACCACTTACAAATCAACTACACCTAATTATTGTCCAGAATAAACCTTCTAGAGGTGCAAATTCTCATGGGTATTTGGAAGTTCTGTACCCCTCCTTGCCCCCCCCCCCCTCTTCCAAGCCCCTCCCCCCTTACAAACCACCCACCACCCCCTCTTGTCTAAAAAGCCTCAAATCTGATCTGAGACCACCAATGAATAGCATGTACCACTTGACGCTGTGAAAGACCAGGCCATTCTTAAAGGACTGTCAACAAACAAAACCTTCAAGGGAAAAGAGTACTCTCTTTTATCCTGTTTGAAAAAAAATATATACCATCACTTGCAATAGAAAGAATTACATCTCACCAAAACCATGTTCATCCATGCACTATTGTATAACATACAGAACCTTATGGAAATACTGCAGCTGGGAGCATGCTTATATATATTATTTCTTGTCAACAAGATCTATGCTCAGTTGCTCAAAGATGGGGGTGGAAATAGAACAGTTTAATGATGTAAAATTTTACAATGACATAAAAGGAAGACTCACTCATGTGATCAATGAACGGGAATATTGTGGGTTCACACATGTATATTATTGACCCTTGACCGAGTTGAAAGTACATTGATCTATTAAAGACCACATACATTATATCACATGGGCTTAATCGATCTGTAAGGGAAAAACTGCAAACCAACACCGTGACCTAAAAATAAGACATCCTGCTTTGCGCCTCTAATCCGTACTTACTGGCACCTTGCCTTGCTGCATGCTCAGTTTCCGTGGTTAATTTTAGCCTACAATGTTTAATTTCTATATCCACTGTGAAGAGAAGTATGCCCTCTTCTGCACACACTATTACAATTAATTATATGCAGAAGGCTCATTGTGAGGTTGCTAAGAGGACCTCGTGTTGATGGAATGTCTCGATGCACTGTTCAGACTTTACATCCCATGACTGGCAAGTCCATGAACTGTGAATGTGGGTGACCAAGAACGATCCTTTCTTGAGGTGGCGGCCAATTATAAAGTTTGGGAACATTTTACTCATGAGTGAATTTAATGTGCCGAATAAATGTGCGCATTAAAATAATGTATCGACTAGTGCACTAACTTTAATGGTCAAATTTAGGCCATTTGAGTGGTGGCGAGAAAGTAAACCCTCGAAAAACAAATCATATGCCGCTTCTTTAAGACGTGCCCTCCTGTTGTCCCTGCTGGAACAATGTACTGGCAAGAAAGCAGTTCTATCAATGATAACGGGATGCCAAATTCACACTAAATTTTTGAGGTCACATTGTGTGAACGGGATAGATGGTGTGGATGGGATAGAGGCTAGATGGGCACGGGCAGCTACTCCGTGCGCCAGGCCGCTACTCCGTGCGCCAGGCCTTCTTAGCGGCAGTAAACGTGCCGACTCGTTTTTCATTTTCTCTACCCTCGGCAGGTGGCAGCGCACAATGAGGCCCTTTGTTAACCCCCATAGCGCTAGCGACACTCAGCTCTGCATTAAATCAAATACAATGGTACACATTTACACAATAAAGGGCAGCCACACATCGAGAATTGTTATTGCTGTTGTCACTAACACAATAAATAAAGCCATGTTCCTCAGCCTAGCAGTCACCTTGTCTTGTTCACATGAATCCTTGCTGGCATGCGCAATACATCCCGAGCAAAGCAGTGTCAATTTAATTAAAACAACATAGACATCCCCAGTCACACACACACACACGCATACACACACAGATATAACATTCAGTACTGGCTTTCTGATCAATTAAAATACCCATTCGCTGTAATGAAATTGGCTAGAAACATTATCTTTGCAAGAGCAGGCCTTTGCATGGTACTTATATTGTTTAGATTCAGAAACCACTTACTAAAATGATGCCTTTCCTGATCTATATAGATGGTAATAACCTTCCCACCCCTTCTTCGCAGGCCTCTGGGTGCCACGCTGGGTTATCATGCGAGAAAGTTGACATTCAAATTAAATCCTGCTTGCAGCAAGCAAGCAGGCAGTTTCAATCCTGCTCAACATCGTCGGCAAGCTCGTTTTGCCGTGTATAACCGTAATGGGTTTTGATAACGCGCATTTCATTCAGATACGACCGTTATGCAATTAATCTTTCTTCTCCCAAACCCTTTCACATCGAAATCTCGGTTATAATGTAACCGACTTATAATTTAAGGCTCAAGCGCAAAGTGAAAAATGGCCTTATATGCCCGTGACACTAATGAGTAATGTGTGGAAACCCACTCTCGTTATGTTCTTTGATATTTTCAACTCGGAGGTTACAGTGAAGCTAAAAACAAATCCGTAGTTTGTAGAGTTTAAATGTGAATATTCTAATCTAGAAGGCAAAGCAGAGTTGTTGCAATTAAATAGAATAATAAAATGATAACAAAAATTCCTCGACCATACATAACAAAGTCTTACACAAATATGCCGAGCGATTGGCTGATTTCCTATCTACAAGCAAAAGAGGATTTAAGACAACAGCCCCAAAGCGAAAATATTTTTAAAATTCTATTAGTAACTAAGCATCACACAAAATTCATACCTCACTCACACAACCACATGTAGGCATGCATATATAAATAAGCACAGTGAATGGGCCAAGACTCCAACCAGGCACGTTTTCAACTGACAATGCTAAAAAGAAACGCAATCAACATAGACACATTACTTATTTACGACGCATTAGCTCAGCAAAGAATGCTACGGTCCTGTAGTCAGCTGTGGCCTACGGCTGTTTCATTTCATTCAGCGGTCCTGTCTGCCTGTCTGGAGCAGACCCCCTCCCCTTTACCGACCCTTGGTCACGGCGCATTTACCTGAACTTGCGCTGCTTGCGTTTGGACGGACAGCTGGGCGGTGCACAGGCACCGTCGTCGGCATCCGACCTGCCCAAATTACCATGCGCTGTCGGCGAGCGGGCCAAGCCCAGGGGTTTGAAGGCCGCAGGCGGCCGCTGCACCCGGTGAAGGTCGTAGCAGCGAGACTCGTGGATGCACCGCCGGCATTTCATCATCCGCCACCGCCGCCGCGCAAACCTCCGCGGGGGGCGAGACGCCGCCTAGGAGGCACCTTCGCGAGGTGGGCGTCGCTGAGGCAACGCGTGATCCGACGGGTCGACTGATGGCCTCAGGCGGAGGGCCTCGCTCGCTCGTGGGGGGCGGAGCGCCTCGCTCGAGAGCTCGAGCTTACGCCTAAACGAGCGTCTCCGCGCGGCTTAACTAATCGACGATCGGGGGAAGGGAAAAAAAAAAAAAGCCCCTTTTTTTTAGCATAGACCAGGGAAGGCCCCCTGTCGGCCAGCCGTCCGTCGCGTGACGGGACCGAACAGACGAACGACGCCAGTCTCCGGCAATGAGGCGGTGGGCGAAGCACTCGATTCCCCGCGAGAAATCGGCGAGCGCCGCCGCCGCCGCCTAAAGGCTCGCAGCGTTGCCGCGCCCCTGCCCGAGAGAGAGAGAGCGCGTGTGTGTGTGCGTGTGCACGGACGGGCGGGGTTTGCCGCTCGTTGCGCTCGTGTGCCCGGGACGGCTCGGCTCGTCCTGCTGTTTATAATCCAGCCAAAAAGGGCCGGCTCGTTTTCGGTGACGCAATTTCCGCTAGCCCGCAGCCAACTCTCCCTTAACCCTTTGCCCTGCTCACAATTCCCCCATGCGTGCTGACAAATTATATCGGATAGGGTGTGACCCAGTTTTGAGCACAGAATAGGGCACTCAATACGGTGTTCACAAATCATTCTGTTGCAAGGAGGGCAGGGGGGGGGGAAACAGGAACTTTCTGTCTAGCACGGAATTAAAAGAGGACAGAAGCAATCGTGGTTCACAAAGCCATTAGATGTCAGGTTCTGCTTACTTTGGGGCTTTCTGCCATAGCCTTTGTAAAAACAGGTACACATTTCAAATACCTACACACAGGATCTGGATGTAACATAATTAACCGTGATTCCATGTGACAATAACTTTACTTGTCTTATCAGAACGTATTAATTTACAGATATTTTGTAACGACGTTATTACAGAGCTTGAAATGTCCACCCGAAAGCAAAGGACGGAGCATGGTTATGCCGCCATCAGAGGCTTCGGGAGAAATGGATCACGAGCGGATTTCCCATAACAATCATTTTTTATGGCCCTTGGCCAATGTGTCCTGTGGGCTCGGTTAGCGTGACCATTCCACTGCATAGTTCAATCAACATGTCTTCAATGCACAAAAGACAAACAAACAGCTCTAAAATGTTCCACACCAGGAGGCCCCTTTGTCCAATTATTGACCAGGCAACTGCCCCCCCCCCCAATTCTCTAACTGCAACACATGACTGACTATTATACATTGATCTGCACAGAACTCTGGAGGCGATGCATGTGTCAAATGTAAGTTTCCGATTTAAATTGCTTTCAAAAGTGCAACTAAATAGCTGGATGTGTTGTAAAGTACACATCTGTAGAGAGATGTGACCACCCCCCCCTAAATCTCTGAAAACTATGTAACTGAATGCAAAAAGAATGTTTAAAATTGTCAAGGTTTTAACAAGCAGGAACATTTAAAATATATCTGTGATGGTTGACCAAACTGAACACAACATTCTAGATGTAAAGCTTTCGTGACTGCAAGGATCCATACTCTTTGGTTCTATTCGGTAAAGTCACGTAGGTAAAAAATAAAACAACAAAAATCACGACGTTTCGGCCACAACACACCTGATGAAGGCCGCTTGTGTTGTGGCCGAAACGTCGTGATTTTTGTTGTTTTATTCTTTACCTACGTGACTTTACCGAATAGAACCAAAGAGTATGAACACAACATATGCGCTACATTTCTTTCAAATTTATTTTTTTAAATACAATAAAAATCACTGATGCCACCAAATACATATAATTCACAAATTTACAGCCCTTTGTCAATCCACTGTTGGATGAACTGCTGTGCACGCAGTGTCGGTAATGGGGTTTATAGACCATACTTCACCACACTGGTCAGTATGGTTTAATGAGATAGTGCCTAGGAGCGATTTGGATATTACTCGCCACTGACATAATTGTGGCCAAGAATCGTACTCGGGTAACAGTGCTCAGAGCTCAGTGTTTACTAATGCTTCACTGTTCTACTTCACGACCATGATAAAGACAGAATGTCCATTTTTGCCGAAAAACACGCGGTACAATCAGAAAACATATCGGAGAGCCATACAGTACAACTGCAAAAAAAAACAACGCAGTACTTTGCAGTCTGCTTCAACAGGATGTTTAGGAATGCAATGTACGAGAATAACAAACATTCCTGGCACATGCATCCACTGCGGTCTATATTGAACAGATGGGAATATAAAAAAATTAAAGAGCTGATGGTTCCAATAGGCTTTTGTCCGTAAAAAGGAAAATATTAATCGTTTCCCAAAAATGAGATTGCTCTTTCCTAAATGTACCTCCGAGTGGAATTATATTATCCAATGCAACATCTCCAAAAGCATCAAGATTTTAGGTATGTCAATAAATAATATTAATCTAATTGCTTAGGGATTTCAATTTTACAGGATTTATCCATTACAGCACGCAGATTTAGTTGAAGCCATACTGTGATTATCCTTCCATTAAATGGCAGTGAACCTGTATTTTTTGTTATAGCTTAAAAAGACTAAAGATAGGTATTTTCAATGCAATACTGTAACGTTGCTTAAAGTAATAATCGTGTTTTTAGCACTCCCCAACATAAAAAAACATTATATCCAGTAATATTTCACCGAACGTGAGGCTTAGGTTCCTGGACAATGCCGTGTTGGGCAAAACAGAGTTCGACAAATAATATACCTTATGAGAATTATTATCCTGTACCTCTTTAATAAACAAATGATTTTACGTGATTTCCACCTTTGTTTTTAAACGAAAAAAGCACACGTAACATACATGGTGAATAAAATACGATGATAGTGACGAAGGTGAGGATGATGTTGGTGGGTGGTGTGAGACGACATGAGAGTGTTGGGGAGGGAATATGGCGATGAGTTATTCATCGGCAGTGTCTACAAGCAGACCGCACATTCCTTGTCAATGCAGAGATGAGAATCTAAGCAGCGTCAAACCGCGTAATGCCCAAACATCACCCCCGTGTTCCGACCTCAATTAGTAAACAGTGTATAGCCAAAGCACGCGTTCGATAAACCAGAAAACACGTACACCATGATGAAATGGGGAAGAGGATGATTTTATGTTTTCAAGGCAATGCAGCAAGTTGGTGAGAGGAGTATGAGAAGAGGTGGACTTCTGTATTGAATAAAACATTTGGATGGACAAAAAGTTCAGTCATGGGCAGAGAATAGGAAAGCATAACACGTAGGCTTTCGCGACCAATATCATCCATAAGAGGTTTTTGGGTTCGAGCGCGTAAATGTGTCGTTAAAACCCGCCTACATAAGCTGTTGGTGTAATTGTCGATAGCAAACACCAATGATAAAGACACACAGAACACTTGCACAAACCCATCCATGCGAGTCTTGTGCTGTGGGGGCTTCTCGTTGGGGCGACTCTATTGAGAGGTGGGGGGAGCGAGTGGGTGCCGTGTGGGAGTCACGCACGAGACAAGCCCACGGAAAGAGCGAAAGGAGCTCGAGTGTGGAGACGGCCTATACCCTGTTTCACGTCCGTTTAAGAAGCCTGATTGCTGAATTTTCAAGTCTGCCGGCTCAGCACCCTGACACGGTACATTAGCACTGCAAGCAATCTCCATCACTAATAAAATAGAACGCGAGTCAGAAATTGCATAGAGGCACGAATACAAATTCATATATTTAATCCCTCTGAATTAGAGCTTTTAAAATATGGATGTGGTACAAAGGCACCGGCTTCAACTTAAACACGGCAACAGCAGTACGCTACGGTTGTTGAATGGCAAATTAATGAGTAATACGAAGAGCAAGTTCGTCAAAATGTTTAAGGTTACAGCAAGAAGGAATGCAGCATCGTTTGAGTATGCAGTGAGACAAAAGGGAATGGCAAAGTTGTACATTACTGATGGCCCGTGGGCTAGATATCAACAAGTTACATAAGGAGGCGAGTATCTGAACAATGCATTTTGGCACGTTACAAGAACAAAGGACAGCAAGAGATGGGGATGACGGGTAGGCGCTTGCATTCTCTACCAGACTGTTCGCCTATGTATATGTAGGAACATTAAAAAGATATATGCCAGTCATATATTAGGAACATGTGAAGGTACAATACACACACTGATCATTGAATTCAATAGAAACACTTGAAGACCGATATGACTGAAATTCATGCTGGTGGAGGATGCAATGATGGGAGAAGAGTTTACCGAGTTTTTAATCAGCAACACTGAGGTCCATGCTGCCTTATTAAATGCCGCATTCATTTCATTTAGTAGCTGTTCAGATACTAGCATTAGCACTAAGATTAGAATAAGTTATACATTTCATTTAACGGTGCGTGTTAATACTGTAATGGCGCAAGCATGATAGTAATGTTTTGATTTAAATCTTTCGTGACTGCAGTAATTCATATTCTTAGCTCTTTCGGTAAAGTCACGTTGAAGGGAAACAATGAAATAATTATATATATTTTATTATTTTATTGTTTCCCTTCAACGTGACTTTACCGAAAGGGTTAAGAATATGATAGTAATGCTTTTGGGTATTGTTGCATTTGGGTTAACATTGAGGTTGGATGGTATTTACATTTGTGGATGAGTTCACATCACATTCCATTCTAGTGTAAGGGTTAGTGTTCATGCCATTCTGTGAACAATGCCATCACATGCAACGATGGAACAGTGATTCTACAAGAGAAACCATGAAGTTGGTATGTCATGATAAACAATGCTTGCTATGCTTAAGATGCATGCATCACATTTTGTGGAAAGTAATATTTATGGCTTATGCAGAAAAATAGGTAAATATTACATTTAAGCTATTTGAACCAATAAGACAGTTCAGCCAAGACAAAAATGTTATTGTGAACCAAGTAAAAACATTATACTAAATTATGAAAATGTATTAATTTGTGGGGGCAGGAGGGATAGAATAATTGCATGCCTAGAATGGATTATGATGACTGCGATAAATGCCAAATTAAGTTTATTAAAGACAACATTAAGTAAACGCTTACCATTTTAATACAGCTACAAGCGATACCAAAAATATATTGTATGCTGGTGATTCCTTTTATTGTAACATGTATTGATTCGTGACAAAGTGCACACGATTGTGCCACTAGGTTATTTATAACATGTATGCCACGATGTGTGGTCCCACTGGCTGAAGAAACACAAGGCCTTGTCACTGCCTCGACAGAAGCAGCACTTCCAAATATGAGCCAAGGGCAGGTGTTTTATATTCAGGAAAATAACCATGTTATTAACTTGACTTGTCTGCCCTTAGGTTGAGATCAAAGGAAAGGTTTTACATGTTCGAAGATTGTTAAATTCAAAACGTCAGTTGGGTCGTGGATTGCGCCTATCTCAACATACTATGTGGAAGCAATGCCCCCTTGTGTCAAGCAATAAGCATGTCATATTCTTGGTTCTTTCGGTGAAGTCACGAAGAAGGGAAACAATAAAACAATATCACGTGTCCCTCAAGCTCACGTAGAAGGGAAAGAATAAAATAATATTATTTTATTCTTTCCCTTCTACATGACTTTACTGAAAGAACCAATAATATGAATTCCTGCAGTCACGAAAGCTTTAAATAAAAAAATAAGCATGTTTTTACATCTGTAGAGGCGTGATTGGAGTCGCCATGGCATTGGCTTCATCTACTGACACAAGCCTGTAACTGCGCGTTTTGTGCCTCTCTCTGGCACCGGCGTAGGCATGGCAGGGAAACGGGCCCTAGAGGGCATAGTCCCATTGACGAGCAGAGAGGGCACGTGAGGGCGTGAGAGTCTGCGTGAACCCGAGAGGGCATGTGACCGGCACGGGGTAGTAAGGGGGCCCAAGAAAGTGCTTAAGGGACACGTGACGCGTGCTCCAGATCCTTCTGAAGAGATCCAGAAGGGGGTGCGGCCGGAGGCAGAGCGAGGCCACGTTCGGCAGCATATAAGGGATGTCCCGAGAGCAATCGAGGCTGTCTTTTGGAATCAACTCGCCGTGCTACGTCTCCTCGTTGTTGGACGTCACGTCAGTCTTCGGTCGTCCAGTCAGTCATCGGTCGTTACGTTCGGCATCGTGGATCAGGCAGACGTTCCTGACCTGACCCAGTTATGTAGTTACCCTGCAAGGGTCCAGTTAACAGTATTGAGTGTTACCCTGTTGAGGGTCTAGCTAACCACGTGTATGTTAGGAAGTCACCCTGTTGGGATTGTTAATAAACGTTGTGCCTCCAAACTCTAGTGTGTGCCTCCGTGGAACCACTAAACATCTGTGTAAAGGACACATTTTAAAAACAGTATTGCACTTTTATAATTCTTTGAAGCTTACTCTTTTAGCAAACACAAAGTAAATGTATTACATTTTGCTGCCTTGGTGTCTTCTGTGCATCTCCAAATTGGTTCCCATCTGAAGTGCTGTAAACCTCAAACATCAGCTTACAATTCAACGTGCATCCGCTATTAAAACAACCGTCTCATGGTCATTACTTACCTGTAACATATTTTTATACTCTCTCTCTGCTCA